TATTTGAAAGTATCAAAAATTGAACTGCTTTAAAATTTATATGATAGAAACGTTCAAAGAGTGAATTCATTGAAAATCATCATGTTATCCTCCTAAATAATAAAGTCGATTTTTCGATGAACTTATTCCTAAGTTAATTTTTATTATATAAATAAACTTTAAAAATATTTTTAGTAAGATTTTACATGAAACTTAAGAACACACTTCACTCATTCATTTTACTTGTAAATACCAAACTACAGAATTTTAAGCTTTTATGTTTATAGATTTTGGGAATAGTACTAATTCATGAAAACTACACAACTCGAAGTTATTTATCGACATAGAAACTAAGTGTTACCAATCTCTCTAGAAGAAATCTTTGAGTATCGAAAGCTTCTTTATCATAGATTAACTTCAAAGGAATTGTTTCATTCATTATTGATATTCCTATTGAATTTTGTTCGATATCGTAAGGAAATAGAAATATAAACTTATAGTTGAATATAAAACATTGACCACATTTTTTTTGTACTAGATATTTATGCCACGTACAACGTATTAAGAACGAGCTACGAATGTCAAAGTGACCATCCTAATTTGGCTCTTTTTAAATATGATAAAAACAAACCACAACGCCTCTCGTACTTGGCTGGTGTTGATGTGAAGACGGGCAACAGGCGAGAGTGGTGCATACGCAATTACTATGCAAGTGTAATTCAAGTTGCGCCTACATGTAATACTGATATAGATTCTTCCAACTTGGTACATGAAAGTTTCTTTCACGAAGTTGCTGCAAATTACAATTGTAGTTACTACGAATGTAGAGCAATGTAGTATAATTTAGCCACATTGAATTGTTAGTTCTTTTTTTATCGTTTTCAAATAAAGTAGAATCGGTATATGATTAAAAGTACTACAAAGTACTCTTTTGATATATTGCATTCAAAAGTCATTTATTTTCGAAGTTAGATATCTTTGAATCAATGTGATAGAAGATAGTTCGATTTTTTTCTAAAGACTATTAGTTTTGTACTACTTCATCATGCAATCAAAACTTTGAGATCATGAAATTCGATCCAACAGAGCACCATCTTAAATTAATTTAATTCTTTCTAACTAACGGGGGTGAGTGTCGATGTTGACGTGACTTAAAAATAAAACAGCCACAGTCACACTCTCGACTTCTGTTTTTTTCTTTTCTTCACATCTGTTTCAATTGATTTTTTTTTGTTTCTGGAATACAACAAACAATTCTGTATCGTTTGGCGCCGCCATAGCTGGATGACTACGTTGTTCGACATATATCTACTAAGTTCTGTCTTCAAATCTTGCCATCCCTAGCCATGGCATAATTCTACGATATGTTTGTAGGTGTAGATGTGTGGATTAAGACAAGGTTTAGATTCCACATCAATACACCTCATCTCATTCTGTAAGCTATCAATCGCCTTCATAAATTCCATTTTTTGACCAACTTTCATTTGATAGAAAAGTTTATTTGTTATACTAATTGATATCATAGCCCCAGCTTCTCTGACAAAAAAATATTTTTATGTATCCTGTATATTAATCGATGAATGTTTTCACGATGTTATCGAATATTCTTGATATAACGATTCAATTACATACAAATATGAAGGGTACTTTTTCAACACATATGTGTACGTATATTCAAAAAAGAAAAAAAAAATATTCCTGTAGCATTATTAGACACTCGTTGATAATTTTATTGTATAAAAGAAAAAAAAATGAATACATTTCGTTTTCATCTACTAAAGAGAATATATCAAATTACATAAGTACAGTAGTATCAAATGAACTAAAACTATCATGTATTCGTTGATTTCGAAATAAGTCTTGTCTATTTTTAACTCCGATAGCTCCACGTAATAGAGAACTATGTTGTGAATTAGCAGCAATAGATTTTGTTTTTGATTGTAATGATATACATTCTGGTTCTAAATGTCGTCGTAATTGTTCATAATAATATGGACGCATACTTTCAATACTAGTACGTTCATCAGACTAAAAAAACGAATATATATATATAAATATAAATTATTTTTAAAAGTTGATGAAATAATAGATATTACTGTTTGTATAAGTCTTGTTACTAAAACTCTTGAACCATCAGACATTTTTTTTGAATAATTTGATTGTTGTATTAAACGTTCTTTTTGTGAAACTGATTGTTCAATAATTAACATTATTTTAGCCCATTGTCGAAGCCATTCTTTTTTTCGTTCATTTACCATAGCATATGTATTACCCATCACTAAATAAAAGAAAATTTTTATCAATCAAAAAAAATCAAACATTTTCTATACATACTAGCAATAAGCATATTAACAAGAAGTACTGCTGCTATGACGATATATGTAACAAACCACATCTAAAATTAAATTAAATGAAAAATATAAAAATGCTGAATCTTTCATTGATTCAATTTACTTTTCCAATAATTTGAATACCAGTAATTGGATGTCGATTAAAATTTTCATAAGCATCTGTAACTTGTTGAAGTGTAACACAAAACATATGAAAAAATGTTCCAATAACAGTAGCAAAATCATTTTCACAATGTATTCGAACAAATAAAACATGTAGTGCTTGTGTAAAACCAAACATAAAAACAAGAAATATTAAACAAAAACGTAATAAATCACCACGAATCATTGTATATATCATAATAACAAATGGACCTGTTGAACGAAAACCACTTTAAAGAAAAATAATGAATTATTATGATTAATCAAAAAATTTAAAAAAAAATCTTTTATTTTTTTTTTTGTTTTTGTATCTTACCGACAAAAAAAGAAAAAATAAGGTGCACGAGTAAGTATTGCAAATACACAAAGAACATCATCAATAATAATTGAACAAGTAAATCGAGCTGGTAACATTGCTAATGTTAATAAACAAGAAAAAAGAAATAATACTCTTGTTGGATCATTAACATATATAAATGAATCTAATTTAAAATTTTGATAAGAAAATTCTTTTATTGTAAATATTATATAGATTAATGCACCAATAATACTTAAACCATCAAAAATATTTAAAAGCTATAAAAGAAAAATAAATTATCTTCTGCTATCTATTCATTCTTTTTTTTTTTCTTACTAAAGCCATTGGTTCAAAATTATGTTTTTTATTTTTATCATTATAATTTATATCTAAACTGATATTCATTATAGTTTGATTTTCATCATGATGATATGGTTTAGGCCATAGAAAATTTATATAATGACATTTACATTCAATTCTATTAGCTATTATTGATTTTACTGTATTTTCATCTTTATCAATAATTTCTTTTAAAATACATGATGATGGTACACGATAATAACCACGAATAATTAAACCAATTAAACATATACTAAAATAAAAACTAAACATAGCCATACGTTGAAAGAATCTATAGAAGAATAAAATTAATTTTTGAAAATTAAAAAAAGACAAAGATCTACTTGAATTTAATAAATGTACGCCATTTTTCATTTAATAATTGTACAATTAAACCATCCATCATATCTAAATGACCAGCAGATTCCTACAAAAATATTATTACAAAATTATTTATAAAGATTATTTGTTTTTTTGAACTTACTCCACGAACAATAATATTTAATGCACTTGTATCATTTAATGAACCATCTTTTCCAATAGTATCAATATCATCTAATGGATAACCAGCACATGTTACATTTCCATATTGCCAATAGATAATACGAGTTTTATGTAAAATATGATCAAATATCTAATTGAATTTTTTGATCTGTTTTTTTTTGTCTAATAAAAAAAACCTAAATATTTTTCTTACTTCTTTATGTGCTTTAATAGCTGCAAGTGTTAATGGTGTTAAACCTTGTCGATTTTTTATATCTAATGATCCACCTAATTCATAAAGTAAATCTACCATACTCTAAAAATAAAAGAAAATAATTTAAAAAAAATTTTTTTTTGTAAGACAAAAAGAAAGTCTTAATAAAATATGAAAAACTTACAATTCGATTATAAATAACACACATATGTAAAGCAGTATTACCATTTGAATCTTGACAATTTGTATCAGCACCTTTAGCAACTAATAATCTTACTGATTCTTCTTGTTGTAAAACAGCCGCAAATGAAAGTGGATATTCACCAAAATAACAATAACCTTCATAATTTGTTGCAACACTTACATCAGGACATTCTTTTGTGACATTATCCACTCTAATAAATAAAAAAAAAAAAAAATATTATTAAAAAATAAATTTAAAATATTTTTCTATTGTTTCTTACCGACTTGATTTTTGATCTTCTGGACAAAAAAATTTTCCACAACATCTTTGTGTAAAATCGACACCAGCATCAAGCAAAAATTTAACTGTTGCTGGTTCTTCATTTACAATAGCAATATGAAGAACATTTTCACCTGATATATTTTTAAAACTAAAATCTTTTAAAATACAAAATAATTAATTGTAATAACTAACCATAATATTCATCACCCATATATAAATCATCAATTAATCTTGGATAATATCTTAGAAGTCTTTTTGCTAAAGCTGAATGAACAGGACTTGATGAAAGAAAACAAATATGAAGAATATTTTCACCAACACCACCACGTAAATCAAGATCCCAACAAACACGTTTTGTATCTTCATCTAAATTTTTTTTGAAAAAAAAAAAAAAAATATTTTTTTATAAGATATAATAATTAACTATTTATTTGTTCTTCATCAAATGTTTTAGCAGTTGGAATAATACTTTTTAATTTACTATAAGTATTATTTCGTCGTTTAACAATTTCACTTATTGTAACCTATAAAATATTTGAAAATAAATTTAGAATAAATAATTTTCTTTTTTTTTTTCTTGTAAAATTTTTACCAATTTTCCTTCACCATCATTATAAAGAAATCTTGGAATATGTTCACGAATAAGTGCATCAATTTGTGTATAATCTTTTGTTCGATTAGCTACACGCATTACATCAATAAATTCACCACTTCCCTAATCATATTTATTTTTTTATTGTTTCTTCCAAAAACAAAAAAATTATCGAAAATTTAATTTACTTTAAAATCAACAAATCGATAAAGTTCAGGACCTTGACCACCTGAATTTATTTGAGCTTTTACACCCGATGCTACTTCTGATGTTGTATTACCCATTGTTATTAACTAAATACTGTTAAAAGAAAAAAGGGAAGAACAAGAATAGACCGATGTCGATCGTGATTGAACCGGAATATTCAATTGAATGTTTACCGGTGTTGACGAGAAAAAAGAAGAAGCAATAGAGTGAGAAAAAAAGCGGCTAAAAAAAAAGCTTTTGCATAGTTGCCCGTAATTGGAGTAAGTGTTGTATTGTGTTAAAATAAGAGACAGAGACGTGTGAAAGCTGAACACAACAGAAAAAAGAAAAGAAAAGTTTTTACTTGTCACCTAAAGGAATTAAAAGAGAAAAAGCAACGATCAATTAGAACAATGCATTAAAGGTTAATAACAATGTCTTGTTTTTCTTTACAGAAAATAAGTTCATTTTTGAAATATGACAGGAGGAACAAAGATTTATATATCGATTAAATCAATAAAAGAGAAATAAGCTAATTTTGATTTTCTTTTATATTAACAATAGTTCATAGTTTTTCAAGGTTTTTTTTTTTTTCTTTTACAAAAAAAGAGAGATCAAACGAATCTAAATATGAAATGTTATCCATGTAATTTCCGTTTAATAAAAGTATTGATTAAATCAAAAATAAACACCTGGGACAATACAATAGAAATCATGAAAAACAATGCTGAGATTTTATTTCGCATCGGAAAATCGCTTGATGTCTCACAGTTGGATATGTTTCTTTGTGAGAATTATATTATCCTATTGAATCTTTTCTTTGAAAGTAATGATTTTTCTTATTAAAATATATAATTTTCAAAATTTTTGCTAATTTGATACATAATGAATTAAGCGAGATACACAAAATAGAATCTATTTTTGCTTTTTATTTTTAGAAATTCAAAAAGAAAACAAAAAAATAAAAATACTGACAATAGATATTTTACAACAAAAAATTAATATTGGAATTCTGATTATTAAACGTTTGTTTGACTGGAATATTTATACTAAACGAAAACAGAAAAAAAGAAATAATCAAAAAGATTTTAATAAAACAAATAAACAAACCATTTGGTCTTGTAATAATTTAATTGTTTGTTTATCTTGTTCTCTTTCTTTACGTAATATTATAATTTCCTTTAAAAAAAAAAATTCTTTTTATAGAAAAAAAAAAAATTTACGTAGTTATCTTACTTTAACTAAATCATCATAAGAAGAATTTTCATCAATTGTATTTCGAAGATTACTATCACCACCACCAGCACTTATTGAATAATGTCTTGAACTAATCATAGATTCATGAAATGAACCTATCATTGAATCCTAGAATAAAGAAATAAAATTTGTTCTTTTTTTTATCAAGAAAAAACTTACAGTCATATTAGTACCATCTGAATGTTTTAATAATCTATCAAGTTGATGAAGAATTGTTTTAACAACCGTAACATCTTTCATTACTTGTCGATAAGATTCAATATCCATAATTATTTGTTCAGCATCTTCACGTGGTGGTAATGTAGTTGTTGGTGGTTTTAATGACAATGATCGTGTTTGTAATCTTCTATAATATCATACAAATTTATGTCAATATTAAACTTAAAGATATTCAATTACATATGAAATACATTGAGAACAGATATTTCTTGTTACTGTTTTAAGAAATATCGATTCTCATGACATGTGGTACTATGAATAAGGAAAAAACATTAAGGCCCCCCTCCTCAAAAAAAGTCACTTTTCGTCAGAATGATCGAAATTAAGATAAATGTAGGGAAAGATAGTCCGTGATCTGATATCTCATGAATGATAAAAATTTTTACTTGACATCTCGGTGTTTCCAAAATTTTTTTTAAGATTTCCGTCATCCTCCATTCGAAAAATAAGCTGTTTTTGGAAAAAACTGAAAATCTTTTTCGTTTTTTCTCAGTTCATGATATGTCAAACGCGCAACTCAAATTTCTCAGTTCAGGTCCATGTGATGTATTTAAATTTTTTTTTGTTTGAAAGAGCATGTCAAGGTGCAATGCCTACCAGAGCCCTTTTTTTAAATTAAGCTTAATTTTTATTATATATACAATCACTTATGTAAATTGGTGCCCATTTTTAGCGGGTTTTTTAAGTCATTGAACTTATGATATCTCTTCTTCGCTTAAAAAGTAAGAATTAAAAAAAAAGGACTCTGGTAAGCACTGCATCTTGATATGTTCTTTCAAACAAAAAAAAAATTTTAATATATTGAAAGAGCTCGGATAGAGAAATCTTGTTTGCCGCATGAGCTATTTTTGACCTTTGTTTGGTACATATTTCTGTCAAACATCATAGTATCGAGCTGATAATTTCACCATAGCCTCTCCACTACAGCCCCAACATATCCTGAAAATATCATGTCATTTGAATGTACCTGGGCTGAGATCAGTTTTTGCGGGGGACTCACCTGGCCACCCCCTGGTTACGCCACTAGGGGGGAGGTCTTAACACAAAAACTCTAAATCATTAGAGATAATATCCTCATAAGAAATGTCGGTTTCGTATTATTGAAGTTTGACATTGACATAAGAAAAACATTCTTACCGATTATGTTCACTATCGACAATATTATCCATTCGATTACTTAATTCAGTTAATTCATCAAGTGATTCTCTAAGATTAGCATTTATTTTATCAGTTGTTGAACATTTTACTATAGATGAAGAACGATTTTCTTTTGATACATTTTGAAATAATGGAATATTTGGTTTTATTATTGTAGTTGATGTTATCATTGAAGGTTTTTTATTTGTTTCAATAGATAATGATGTTGATGATAATGAATCTGTTTGATCACTTAAAACAGCAAAAACAAAAAAAATTTTCGATTTGTATAAATATCTTTTCTATCTTACTTTTTACTAGCAGATTCAAGTGTTAATGTATCATCATAATCACATATTAAATCATCTGATTTTAAACTACAATTATCATCATCAAGAAATGCATCATGATTTAATACATCAGATACATTTGATGATGATGATAATGTACTAGATGTACGTCGTTGTTGTCGATTAATTTGAGAATATTGTACAGATGGTACACGATTTAAAGGTAATGTTATACTTGCATAAGCAGAATCACCATGTGATGAAGATATTTGTTGAGATGATTCGGTTTTTAAATCATCAGTCTATTAGAAAAAAAAAAATAAAAAAAAGAATTTATTTTAAATATTTTTTCTTATTTGATAATAAAAATAAATTTTATTATTTACTTGATTTTCATTTGAAATATTTATTATTTGTTCATTTTTTTCTTCTTTAATTACTGATGGATTTTTAAGTGAATTTGGCATTGATGTACGTCGACTATAAAAATTCATACGTTTTTGATTTTTATATCGATCACGTATAATATTAACATTTGTTTTTGTTGATTGAACAGGAGAAATAGATACAGATGGTGTTGTTGTTGAATTTGGTGAAGGTATATTTGTATGTAAACGATTAGTTGTTGTTAATTTGGATGTTGGTGATTCTTTATTATTATTATTATTACGAGAAGAAGAAAATGTTTTCGATTTTGATACATGTGTAGCATTTGAAGAAGACGTATTAGATCGATTTGATGTTGCTTTTGGTATTACTTGATTTTTTGTTAAACGTTGAGAAGCATTTGTTGATGAAGAATTACCACTAATAGATGATGATGATGGACTAATTGAACGACTACGATTTATAAGTGATGATGATGCTTGTGGTTGTTGTAAACCGGGTGCTATAGGCCGAGGTATAAAACCAAAACGTGATTGTGTATTATTTTGTGTAGATGATACATGTGTTGATGCACGATTTGTTATTGACATTGGTAGAGAAGAACCTGCAAATTGAACAGAATAAAAACAATGGTTGAACAATGAATGTTAAAGTTAAAAAAAATGAAAGAATGTCGATTGATAAACGTTAGCCTTTATGAACACTCTTGCTGTTTTTTTTTAATGTCATCATTCTTCGATGAAGCAGCACAGTAATAGCACAAAAAAAACAACTGGAAGAAAGGGACAACAGGAAAAAAAAGCAGTATGGAAGAAGACAAAGAAAAAGAGGAAAAATGTTCGTGACTGTCGATGACAAAATGCAGAATTAATCTTTTTTTCTCATTTTTTATGAGTCATACACTGACTCCAACAGGAATTGAAGCAAAAAAATAACAACCAGAATAAGATATTACCTGTTTGATTAGGAGTAGTAAATGTAGCAGTTACATTTCTAAATTGTACTGAACTTATTGATGATGATTGTGGTTGATGAAGAGATAATCGATTTTTTGATATTGGAATACGTGTTGGATTATGAGATGTAACTGATGATGATGGTATCCAACTATGTCTATTATAATTATTATTATTATTCATATTAGGTGTATATAATTGTATTAAACTGTTCGTATTAATTGAATGACAAATAGATTCTTGTAAAGGAGATGATTGAACATTAATATTAGATAATAAAGAATGAGGACGTTGAGATTGTTGGTTTAGAAATGGAGGCGATTGTAATGACGCAATATCTTTATTGTCAAGAGCAACTGAGTTCTTTAATTCTATTCGTTTATGCAGTTGTTGATGATCTTTTTGTCGACGTTTTGTAGTTGATGTGCAAGAACCCATCATCAACCTATATCATAGAACAAGAAGAGAAAAAAGCATAAAAAAAAAAGAAAAAAACCTGACTAACAGTTGTTACACTAATTTACATAGAATTTTCTTTTTTCTCAATTCAAATGTTTTACTTTTTCATATAATTTGTTAATCTTCGTATCACAAAATATATTTTACTTGATATTTTTCAATTTGAATTCTGATTGATTTAACTATTTAGTCTTGATACATACTCAAATCACTTAAATGTTTAATACAAAAAAAAGAAACATAACATAAATGCATATATACGCATGTATAGATGTGTATTTATATATATATATGTAAGACATAAGAGAATATTGCTTGAGAATAGAAAATGAAAAGTAGTTATTTTGAATTCCCTTATCGCTTAGTCTCATTTAATTGAAAATCGTTTATGTCAACAATAAGAATTGCTTTTTACGATACATCATATATCAAGTGAAATACAACAAATGCTATACATTATAGATATGTAATTCACAATATTCATTTAAAAAGGAGAATAACTTAAACATACAAAAGAGTAAAAACAATAGCTCTAAGCGATTAAATACCTTGAATTTTACAATATCATACATGTCGTTGTTGTTTATCTTTGTAAAAAAAAGAAAGTATCTAACGAAGACAAATAGAAGATTTTGTCATACATAAGTAATATATAGACGTGTTGGTGGGCATGCATCATCATATCATTGAAGCAAAAAAAAAAAAAAGAAAAACAGAAAAAAAGAAAGTGCAACGTATAGAAGAGGTATATGGTTGATTCGTTGGGAGAGACAAACAAAACAAAAACGATACTGTGTCCTTAATATTTTCTCTTTTTTTTTTCAAAATGCTAAAGAAGAAAAAAAAATGTGACAAAAACGAAGAAGATACTAAAAAATAATATTATCACTATATCGAGCGATAAACGAAAAAAAAATAGACAGCAACAATAACAACAAAAAAAAAAGAAAATATTACTATATAATTAAACTCAATAAAAGTAGTTACCCTAATTTGACATCATCAATAATTAATGATTGATATCGTACGGGTATTGCTTAGTTATTATAACCTTAAGAAAAAAATTTACACGTATATTGTCGTGTAGACAATCATAGACAAATAGTTCCCTATCAAAATACGAATATGTTTTCGTTTAGCTGTATTGCACCAACTGATATTTTATAGATCTAAATATAAGTGACCTTGTCTTTTTTTTTATTATTATTCAAACGAACCATAAAATGAGTTTTTATATAGTGAGAAAAAGAAGAAAAGTCAAGGAATACTTGATTATATCAAAATAATGTCATAGACTTACCTATTTAATTTTTTTTTTGTTTTTGAAAATAAAACTGTTTCACTAAGAATTCATTAAAATCTATCAGTTATACGTTTGATTCAAAAAAACAAAAAATTGAACTTTGTCAACATAAAATGAACACGATACCAAGATTCTATAGATGAAATTTTAGTTAGATGATACGAATGTGTCGAGATGTCTGTCTTGTTTGCATTGTATTCATATATGAAAGTCAACTCGTAATGCAATATTCACTTTGAATAGAATACTATGAGTGAATTAAAATGTTAATGCATGAAACCAGAAAAAAGAAAGCGATGGGATATTGATTGTAGTAAAAATGCAACCATTGTCGAAGTGATATTGTAGAGTAAGCATCGATACAATGAATGAGCATTTGAGTGAGTAAGAATATATGGATATACATATACAAAGAAACAGGACTAAACAAAAGTGTAAGATATAGTGACGAAAAGGAGAAGAAAAGAAAATGATGAAGTATTTTGGTGATATATATATATGAAAGTAATTAAAGACGAAAATGGCAAAAAGTGAGTGTGAAGTGATGAACAAAGGTTGTATATAAAGACACGCATATATAAAAAGAGTCAATCAAAAGTTTATCTGATGTCTATATGAATGAAGTCTATGAAAGCTTTTATATGGTGATAACCAAAAGAAAAAAAACAAATCAAAAATACAAAGAAGTCATATTCTATTATAGTAAAAGAACATAGTATGATTTAGAAAAATAAAACTTATTCTTAATTAGTTTTTGACAAATATTTAAATTGATTATATATATATATGTTTATTATCACAAAGATAAATTCAAACATATACAAAAGAAAACATTAATAAAGATTTTATTTTTATTTTTGTATATAATTTATATATAATTACAATATGAATGAATATAACATAATTATTATTATCAGTTTTTAAATCTTCTTTATTTATTATTCTATTCTTTGTAAATATCATTCATAATATATTTTTAAAAGATTGAATTTAATATCTTCGAGAAAATCTTTTTTTTTTTTTGATATTCTATGAAATTTTATAAGTTTGAAGAAAAGTCTTTCGAACTGAGTTATGATCGTTTTATTTAGTTTTCACTAAAAAACAAAAATACTCTGAACAATTTACATGTTAAAATGTCATTAGTTAAATTCGATTTTTGTTTTGTTTTACCAATGAAGGAAAATAAATTATACAATCGTTTAAAAAAAAAAAGACAAAATTTTTTATTTTTATTTGACAAAATTTTTCTATTATAATATCAATGGACGGATTAAATAGACTATGCAACAACAAAAAAAAAATTAATTAATTAATTTATTATGAATTATCCTTTTTACGTTGTCGTTCTTTAGCTTTAAGTTCAAATGTTATATTTAATGTAACATGTATAGTTATTGTTTTTGCATCAATTAAATTTTGAAATGATGTTGGTTGTCCTGTTGAAACTAATATTCCTTCATTTTCTTGATAATTTTCTTCAACAATATGAATAGCTTTTGAAACATGTAAACCAACTGTTCGTGCTATATCTTCAGCTGTATGTTTAGCATTACGTACCGCTTGTACACTTGCTTGACGTCTAAAAATAAAAATAAAATAATTCATATAAAATGAATAATAAAAAATTTATTTATATATATTTATTTTACTTAATATTTTCAAGACGAAGTGTTGAATGAAAAAATATTGGATCAAGAACACATACAACAGGTGTATCAAGTTTTTCAACTAATTGATTATGACATTGTTGATAACGTTGTAAATCATTAAATATTGCTGTTAATTCAGCACGTACTTCATACATTGTATCACGACGTATAATAGATTGTACAACTGATTTATCTGATTCTTTAACACCAAAATTTCTAAATGTTTGTTCAACATATTTTAATCGACGTATAACACTTGTTTTAGCTTCATTAACATTTGATTTTGTACTTGTTATAATAATAATTAATTTAACACGATCAGGTGGTAATGAAAAATCACCCATACCTGTTACAGTTATTTGTCGACGAGAATCTATATCAGAAAATATTAATGCACCACGCATTTGTTCATCTGTATAAATACGATTTTTTGGAACAAGACCAAGACATGTTGCAGGTCTTTTTGATGTTATATAAGATAAATTTTCTTCTCGACGCATATTTAGATACAAAATCTTTAAAAAACAACAAAGATATTTTAAGATTTGTATATATATATATATATTCAGTTGCTAACGTGAACACAATTCTTTCAGATAGAGGCAGTAACAACCAACCGTATATAAATGCTTGTCTGTGTGTTGATAGGAGAAGAAGTTTGACATGCAATGTAAAATAAGGAATAGTGGAGTAAGAACGAAGAAAGAAAAAAAAGAACAAAATTGCCATGTACTTTTTTTTTTCTTTCATTCTTTGTTCTCTGAGCTTATACTAAAAAACAAAATATGGAAGAAATACTACTGCATCAATATCTCGACACATACTGAAGAATAGAACACAATTAAGCATGGCTGATTCTATATTATTTACATCGTTAATGTTATATTGAGAAAAAAAAACGGAGACAGTCCTACAATCGATTATATTTCTATAATATTCTCTTGAGAATGAATACGAAATCTTTTATCTATCTTAACTTTCTATGTTAAATAAATCGTTTATTTTATTTCTATTATTAATAGTTCCTTATCAATATTCAGTTTTTTTTTATATACACTGAAAAATTCACTTTTTTCTGTCTAAGAATATCATCAAGACGAACATCCGTAAGTATTTACAAATAGTAACAGTCTAACAAAAAAAAAATGAAACTCGTTATCATTGGCGTACGCAGAAATTTTTCAAGGAGGGGGCCCAACTTCGCAGGGGGTGGGGGCCGCCATGGCGCAAAAAAAGTTTTATCACGCGAAAATATTTTTCCCTGTACCCCCATCCAGGACTTTTTCGTCTCAAGGGGGGCCCGGCCCCCCCCCCCCCCCTGCGTACGCCACTGCTCGTTATTAACATAGTATTCTCTATTATATATATATATTTCTAGTTTTTCATATGAAAAATATTATAATTAATTATTATCTAATTTTATCTATATTAATATTAGTATATTCTATTTAAACCTATTCTATTGATATGGTAAAATATACAATGATGAAACGTATTACTAAAATTTTTGGATCTATTCTATTTATTGTTACTATTTTAACTGTTTATTTAACATTTGATTTTGCAATAAATACTGCTTTATCAAATAAATATTCAACTGATAAATATGAACATATACATAATAATAATAATATAAAATATAAAAAAACATCTACTTTATCATTATTAAAAATAAACCAAACTAATCCAATATTAAAAAATAATAATGATAAACAATCTAATCATATTACAAATCAAGAACGTCATATACGTAGTGTAAAAGATAAACAACAACAACAACATATTATTAAATCTGCAAAATTTCATAAAAGTAAAACTGGTATTAAAATTAATCAAATAAAAAAATCCCATAAACAACAACGAAAAAATTTATTAACAACAAAATTTATTCAACATAAAGATTTTAAATCTAAAAATGATAAAACTCATTTATAAAATTTTATTTAGTTTTTTTTTTTTTTTTGTTTGTGAAATAGTAAAATCGAATATGTAAATATAGTATTAAGTTTATCAACACTTGTATATCTATTTAACTTTATTGAATGACTGTTTTTTTTTGTCATGTATAAAAAAAAGCAAAATATTCATTGTATTGTTTTTTTTTTGTTTGTCTTTTCATCAATTAATATAACTATATCGATAATATCATTTTAAAATAAGTATCGCTAAAATGTTGATGGAAATCAAAAAAAAAATAAGCTTCAATCAATATTGATTTAAGATTATTAGTATAAAGTATGAAAATAAATGTTATAAGGAAGTAGTTCATATATTATAACGAGATGTTATTGATATCCAGTCTGTAATCGTATATCAACAATGTCTGACACAATCTATGATGAATGAAAGATGTTACTAAACGGTCTGTCACATCTTGTGAAAGAAGAGAGAATCTTAAATTTCTATTCTTATACATCAAACTTTTCGTATTTCATGAAAAAGTCACGTATGCATTTTTTCTTTTATGATAATGCATTCCAAAATTTTCAAAGAGCCTTAATCATAGTCAATGGGGGTTTTCTTTTTTTGAAAGAAAATGTGAAGCTATAATGCTTGTTTTTTTTGTATTTAACGACTTTTTATTATTATATAAAAGAGTATTTCTATGAATAGATGACCATATTTCGAGGTATTGATTTTTCACATAAAAAAAGCAATTAAATCTATAGAATAAAGATCCATAAAAAAATTTCGGGTTATCAAATGAACTATTTTCGATTTTTATTTGTTGAATATCTCATGAAAATTTTAGTAAAACCTCTTTGCTATAGTCACAAACATATTTTAAAAATTTTATTTGAGAAAAAAAATACTTTCAACGTTGGTTCCATAGGAACTATCTGCAGAATAAAGCGTTTGTATTTCTAATTGTAGACTGAAATTTTCATCATTTATAGAATTTATTATTTTACATCTAATATAAATATTTCAATTTAATAGAATAACTTATTGAAGAATTATAGAGCAAACAATTTTCATAATAACACTATAGAAAATTTTGCTAGTATATTACTAGAAGAATTCTTTTTTCGTTTCATATGTTGCCAACTCTATTTGTAAAGAGAACTTAACCCGAGTTTGTGTCATTTTACATAAAATCATACAAGTGTCTGGCAAACGATCTAGATGTTCGATGAAGAACTGAAGAAAGAATCATATTTCAATTAATTATATATTTTGATAGAGCCTCGAATATTGTAGTCAATAGACTATTTACATTTTTTTTTCTTTCTGCTTTATTATAACCGAAAAACTTCCTTCTTTTTTTTTTGTTGCATATGTTACCAAAAAATGATGATTTTTTTGTCATTAGTCTTTCATAAATCAGTAACGATATAAGCTGAAGAGCCGGAATTTGTTGTGAAAATTGGATACTCAAAAATGAATAACTTATAAAAAAAAAAGACGATCAGAATAAAAGTTATCAAATGAAATCAACAGTTTCAAGAGAAATGACTTGAACAGATCAGATTGATCCTACGAAAAACGTTTTACTATAACTTTTTTTTTTCTTTTCAACAATTAGGCTTGATTGTGATTTCAGAAGATTCTTTAGAAAAGAACATCATCAGACTGATTTCTATAGAAAGTTCTTGGAAAAAATTCAATAAAAAATATTTCAAATATAGAAGTCGGCTGACTTTCTAAATTGAAACTAAATACGTCAAATGAGCTGCATGATAAAAACGAAGAGAGAGAGTATATACATAATCCTTATAAAGTTCAATTAATATTTCAATCCGTAGTTCCATAGCTACTAGACAACGTCGAATAATTAAGTCTGAATATCATCTTCTGAGCTACAATTCACTTAAAAGTTCAGTATTCTTTATTTACAAATAAGTTACGAGTATTCTTAAAACAGATCACACTCTTATCTTATTGCTGCTGAAATTCTACATTTTTATGGTAGTTTGTCAATCAAAACTATGGTATCTTGCAGGAACATTCAAAAAAAGAATAAATTAAATACTTTTATCAAGAAAAATAGCGCACAATCAATTTCAAACAGTGTACAATCATCGTTTGTAGAACTGTTAGTTTAACTATTTTCGTCTAGATTTTCAAAGATTCACTCATAATTTGAAAACAGCATAGAATTTTAATTCTAATCGAATATTTTTTAAATTTTCTATTGAAACATTCGAATTGTATATAAATGAAAGAATATTTTGATTATTTTTAATCATCACTATTTATTTAACAAAACAAAAAAATATATAGAGTCAAAACAATACGACTGAATACAAAAGCAAAAAAAAAACGTAATGAGCCAAAACCCAAGAACAAGAAAAGCTCAAATTTTCTTTTATTTTTTTGACAATATAACTTTTTAGATTACAACAAAATACTTCTAGTCGAACATTTAATAATATTTTATTTATCCTAATAAAACAAAAACTTTTTTTTTCGTGTTATGTTTTTTTTTTTGCTCTCTCTCTTTCTCCTTCTCATGATTTTTAATAAAAATATTAATCATCAGTTGATAATAGTTCTTGTTTTTTTTGATTATTTTTTTGTACTTTCCATGAATTTATTGGTAAATCTTGTAAACGCATCATTGTTCCATATTTCCATATAAGCCAAATAAATCCAGCTATTGTAGATATAATTACAGCAATAAAATATGGATCAATATATGGACGACATATACCACCTAATAAAGCACAATTTTTTTCTTCAGCTGGTGTTCGACATTTATCATCACTTAATGTACATTTTTTCCATGTTAAAAAATCAGCCGAATATAAAACAGCTGTTGAAACCCAACTTGAACCTAATTAATTAAAAAAAATTATTTTTAATTTTAATAATAAAATATTTTTACCAAGATTTGTTAATGTATTAAGTAATGTCATATATGTTCCACCTATTTTAGGATCACTAACTTGTGCAAAAAAAGCCATTTGTGAAACAAACATACTGTATACAAATATTTGTTGTATACTAAATATAATTATAGCTAATGTATAATAATACCATGGAAATGTTTTATTATAATTTTGAAATGATGGTGTAAAATAAACAAATAATGCCATTATAATACCAAGAAGTAATCTAATTAATAAATAAAAAATTCAATAGAAGAATTTAATATTAAATTATTTAGTAGATATTTCAAATCGATTTGATAATGTATATGAATGATAAGAATTAAGGATATGAATATATTCTAGTAGAAGACAAAATGCTTCCATTCTCGAAGTGATGAAATAAATCCACAACAGACAGGTTGATCTCTTCCCGAATTTTATTCACATGGCAATGAACATCATCTGTTTATTTTTATGTCACTTTTTTTGTTAGAGAAAGATGAATGGTATTTCAAAATTCATTTGCTATTCAAAGTTATCATGAAACTATAAAAAAATTGACAGAAAATCTTCATATCTTCTAATCAGGAATGACTCAAAATATTAACCTTGGTTCTATATTGTATCTTTCTGGCTATTTTCTATGAAGATCAATCTTTTATCTCATATAGAATATTCAATTCTATATCGATTCCTATAAGACCAAATAAATCATCAAATTTATTCTTTTTTATTATGGCAAATCTGAAGAGAATCAGATAAAAAAACTTATAAGAAATCGTTTAATACAATATACCTTAAGAGTAGTATGCATCAAAGGTCCAAACAGGCCACGTTTTTTTTAGGCTTGCACGGCCTGTCAAGTTTTTCGAGCGAGTACAATAATGATGACAGACTAGAAACTAGAGGTCCAAACAGGACACTAGCGCTATTGCTCAATCTGATTCTGACCCGCCTGCCACAGGCATCACCCATGGTTTTCAGACTAGTGCAAGTGGTAGGCCGACACGCCAAAAATTGCTTGGATCTCTGACTTTCACTATTCTGAAAACCATAGGTGATACCTATGACAGGCAGGTCAGGATCAGGTTGAGCAATAGCTCTAGTGCCCTGTTTGGACCTCTGGTATGCATTAAGTTTTTTAAGTGACCAGGATTTTTTTTTTTACAGTAATTTTTTCCTAGTGCTATCGGTTAGTATATATAAATTTAATGTAACTAACTCCATAAAATTAAATCCTTTACTAAATGCTATAAGAATTTAAGAACGAACAAACATTCAATTTTATATAGGTCCATTTTTACCTAAATGGATGTGATCTAGCAAATACATTCAATGGTTTTTGTCCTGTTGTATATTTTGAAATAAAAAATGGTAAAAGAATTTCTAATGGTGTCATTGGTATAGCTAATAAAGCTAATGAATCTTTTGTAACACCACGTTCAATTAATTCAATTCCAGTCATAGAATCAACTGCACAAAAACCAATCTAAATAGAGAAACAAAACAAAAACAAAAGAAATTCTCAAAGAAAACAACAAAAAAAAAATTATACTTTGATTGTTAATAAAATTATTGCCATACTTCGTACTGATGGTAAACGAAGAACTTTAATTAAAACTTGATATGTTTCAATAAGACCAAAATGTGGTTCATTTGAATCATAAGTTTCATCAATTTCATGTTTAAATAAAGCAATTAATGTTGTTGATATAATAAAAATAATACCACAAAAAAGAAGAAAACCTTTAAATAAATAAGACAAAAAAAAATATATATATATTGTTTTTTTTTGTTTTGTCTATTTTCTATAAAATTCTTGAAAAAGAAAATTTGTTTTAAAATCAAACAGAATAAAATCTTCATCATTTAGATTTAAATAAATAAAATTCTTAATTTTAAAATAATATTTTACCAGATAATGTAATCAATCCAATTGATTGTAATTCTAAATTTAATGGTTGACGTACATAAAGATTTGTAAAATCTTTTGATTCAAGTGCAAGAAAAATAACATTTCCTAAAAAATATCCAGCTGTTTGACCAACTGAATTACATGTACTTGCCCAACCTACATTTTCTCTACAAAAAAATAAAAACAAATTAACTATTTACATATAAATAATTTATTTACTTTGAAAGCATTGAAAGAGCCCAACCATCAACACATATATCTTGAGTTGCAGCCAAAAATGATAAACCAAAAAATATTAATGTTAAAAAATAAATACCTAAATATTAACAAAATACAATAATAATAATAATAATTTCAAAAAAGAAAATATACGTGGATGATGACTAGTTGGTGTTGGTGCTTCTTCATCTAATATATTATTAATAAAATATGATAAAATTATCATAACAAATCCAATAATATATTGAATTGGTATAAGCCATGTTTTTCTACGACCAAATTTTTTAAAATATAATGCATCAACAATAGGTGCCCATAAAAGTTTAAGACTAAATGGCCAAAAAGCAAATGAAAATATAGCTTGTTGTGACCAACTAACACCATATGTTTGTATAATAAGTGGTATTGATGCTGCCATACCAAGTGGTATACCTTGTAATAAATAAAGAAATAATAAAAGACATATATTCCATTGATCTTTTTTCCAATTATTTTGTATTAATAAATATGATTTTTTATGAATTTTTTCATCATCAGATGATGAAGAAATATCATTATTATTATCTGAATATTTTTCTTCAATTAAATATTCATTATTATTTTCTTGATTTTGTAAACGTTGATGAACTTCCATTGTCAAATGAAAAAAAGATAAAAAAAAAAACTTTTTATTTTTTATGACTCATCAAGCTGTTTATTGGTTAATATTATTGACGATTTATTTATTGTGGCGGATTTAGAGAGAGAGAGAAGAGTGCAAGACGTGTGAACACCTTGCTCTTCTAAAATATTTTTCTTAGTAAATAAATCCATATGAACTTTTGATGAAGTTCAAAAATAAGTTTTTTTTTTTGACTATGTACTCTCTCTCCACTTTTTTTCTAAAACTTTAATTAGATTCATTAGTGTTTTTTTTTTTAATAAATAAGAAAATAATATTTTTATTTTCGATTGGATAAATTTAAACCAGTTATTGTTCTATTTCTTTTTTTTAAATGAATTCGGATTTTTCATCACCAAGTCAATCAACTGTTTATATATCAAATATTTCTTTTAATTTAACAAATAATGATCTACATAAATTATTTGATAAATATGGAAAAATTGTTAAGTAAGATTTTAGGTTTTTCTTTTTATTATTTATTTAAATTTCTAAATTCTAGAATAACAATTGTTAAAAATCATCAAACACGTCAAAGTAAAGGTATAGCTTTTATACAATTTCTTTTAAAAGATAATGCTTTACAAGCAATAGAAGCATTTAATAATAAAGAAGTATATTTTGAATAAAAAAAAAAAAAAATTTTGAAAAAAAAGAAAATTTTTTTCCATTTAATTTTAGTTAAATGGACGAATTATTAAATGTAGTTTAGCAATTGATAATGGTCGTACAAAAGAATTTATTCGAAAACGTCAATATTTAGATAAAACAAAATGTTTTGAATGTGGTGTAAGAAAAAAAGAAAAGAAACTTTTTTTTTTTTTTGATTTTTTGAATTTTTTGTATAAAATAATTTTAGGAAATAGGTCATTTAAGTTATATATGTCCAAAAAATACATTAGGTAATCGAATAATACCTATTAAAAAACGAAAAAAAATTAAACATAAAATTTATATTAATTCATCATCAAATAATTTGTAAGTGTTAAAAAAGAAAAATTTATATTTTCAAAAATTTATTTAATAGAGATTTAAATGAAAATAATGATACACTTGCTTCAATAATTATTTCTCAGGTAAAATAAATGACAAAAGTTTTAGATTAATAATGTCTTGCTTTTACAAAACTTTTCAATTTTTATTGATAATCAAATATGATGTTATATGTATAAATATAATACGACCTATAGAAATGAATATAAGACCATCAATTGAATCTGATAAACAACTAATATCACCTAGAGAATAATTATGGTTATCTATTAATTATTCTTTAGGTGATATTGATTGTTTATCCAATTCTGTTCGATGCTATAGGCTGTGTTATACTTATACACACAATATTACATTCGATTCGTCCTATAATTTTTATTTTTTGGAAACTTCTAAATTTTGTCAGCAAAAAGTGGTAAAATTTTACGAGATTTGACTTTGCCCTGAGAGGGAGTACGGAGATCTTCGCGGCGCTACTCATCCCGGTGATTACTTTTTACGAAAAAACTAGGTAATGTGAATAGCTGTTTCTTGCAAGTAAAGCACATACATTTGAGGTGTGGTTTCGACGTACAATACCTAAATTTTTTACTTTCTTTAGTGAAAATAAAATCCTATATAGGAATTCATATAATTTCGAAAATTTGTAATCGGAGACTAGCATTCGATTATATATAGATATGATGTTCTTTGTACAGATCGAAAATTTAACACAATACTATTTATCATTTAACGTATTGCATCGTTATTGTTATCATAAATTAAAAAAAATTATTGTGTACATCATATAGTTCGTTATGAGTTGTCAATACTTCAAAAAAGAATTCAGACTATTAGCTTATTGTTGCCGAAATACTATATTTTACGTTAGTTTGTTTTTTGGCACAATGTTGTGGTCCATGAGGAAGAATAAGGTATTGCACTTACGAGTACCCTAAAGATACAGCATCTCAGCAACAATAAGTTAACACTCAATAGGAATCGTTTCTTCGTCAGTAAAAATTTGATAAGCTTGAACTTTTTTTGAATTGTTTTAAATCTCGTACAAATCCTGTAATAATATCTTTTCGGTAGTACGTTTGATTAGTCTATAGAATAAGCAAAAAAAAAATCTAAAATTCAATGAATTTTAATCTAGATTATTTTATATTATCCAGAAAAATATTGACAATGGAACTTAATATCCTATTGAATTAGTATTAAACTATGACATTAGATATTCGAAATAGATTGTACATTTTATCAAAACGATGTGAAATATCATACTATTCGATGGGGTACAATAATTATGTTAGAACATCTTTCCTTATTTATTATTAATAAGAAACATGTGTTAGCAAATAATCTACCATCAAACATATTAGTTTGTTCGATTTTTGCAATGATAAAAACTAACATTGAAAGAAAATGTTCTTAATGAGTTCAACAAAGAATATTTTTTGTTTTGTTTTGTTTTGAATTGTATTTTGAAAAATAAAAATTTTAATAAAAATATAATTAAAAGTGAGACTAATATTTTTTTTCTTTTCTCGCGAAGATGATTCTCCAATAATTAAGAAACAAAAGATTAGATGTTAATGAATATTATCCTTGATTTAGATTGTTTTTTTGTCTTGAGAAACATGTGCTAGAAAGATATTTCCATATGAGCTTGCTTTTATTGTCTCATTAATATTATTATTCAATGTACATTTAATTGATGTCGAATTCTATGGAACACTATGATTTGTTTATTATAACTTTTAGTAGTTTATTCATCCATTAATTTCTAATTAAATCAATAGAATGAAATTTTATTTAAAAATGAAAAGATAATATTTTGTTTTTTTTTATAGGAAAATCAATCTGAAATGATCAATGATACTTCACAAACTAAACGTAAACGTTATTGTCAATCTTCATATTTTAGTGATGAAGAAGAAATTATTGAATGAATAAAAAAATAAAAAAGTTTTTTTTTTTTTTTTTTTTTTTTGTACATATATGTGATAAATAAAGTAACAGATGTCTTTATCAATCATTTTTTTAACTGACAATATATGTCATAATTAATATCAATATTCGATAATGAGTTAAATAATATATTGATCATTTATCATATTCTATTGTATTTTGTCAAGGTATTTTAGAAGACTATAAGATATATATATATATATTTTTTTAATTATTTATTATCTATAGAAAAAAAGAAAATATCGATCAATATATATTTAGGAAAAAGTACATTATTAATATTTGTTTATGAAAAGAAACAAATATTACTCATCTTGTCCATATTTAACAATGTTATGTTTTTAATCATAAATCTAAAAAAGTCATAGAGAGTTTGAAAGTAATATTTTAAATCTAAAGATTTTTGCATTTCAAAATTAATGCACTCTTCCATTAGTATATGACGTAGATAAGCTGTAATATTGCTGCTGCTGTTGTTGTTGTGTGTATTACTCTAGAAGACATGTTGAATGATTTCTTAGCATTTGTCTAAATATTTCCTATTCTCCAGAAAAAGATTAACATATTGAAGTAATATTAAGAAAAAAAAAAAAAAAGAAAGCTTTATGATGATGTTAAATGTGATAGGGAAAGACATATTTCATGTTTATGCAAAATGCGATTATGATGGAGAGAAAATTGATTCTACTGACAGGAAATAAAGGATCTTTTTCTCTCTCTCTCTCTCTCCTTTTCATAATAAATATTATGTAGAGAAGAAACAAGTTTTGTCTGTCATAAAAAAAAAAGAAAAACTATTTATTTCCGCTACTCAAACGAATGAAAATTTCAAGTATTTTTCTTATTATTATTATCATCTTCATTTTTATTAATTCAATTAATAATTTTGAATTACCAAAGGAAATTCGTATTGGTAGATATTTTTTTGTTTTAATTATATAAGAAAAAATTTCTTTTCTTAGGAGCTATTTTTGATACTTATGATACATTATCTCGTCAAGCATTTGAATATGCTGTAGCAAAAATTAATGCACAAACACATATATTTAAAAATTCGAAAATTATTATCAATCATATTAATATGGTTGATGCATATGATAGTTATTCAGCTTATAGAATGGGTAATAAAATAGAAAAAAAAATATCAAAAAAAACGATTAATTTTTTTAAATTTAGTATGTGAACAATTAGCAACTGGTATTGTTGCTTTATTTACTGGTCAACTTACTCCATCATTAGAATTTGTTAGTTCATTAACACGACAATTACATATTCCATTATTTTTATCATCACCTGATCCACAAACTAAAGTTGATTATTATATAATTAATGTTCATCCACATTATTCAGCAACTAGTCAAGCATTTAGTGATCTTATTAAATTTCAACGATGGAATGAATTAGCTATTATAACTGAACATGCTAAGAGTAAATTCAAAACAAAAAAAGAGTTCTAAGAAATTGATCAATCGTTTTTTTTTGTTTTGTGAATATAGATTTACTTTATCTACAAGATTTACTTAAATTACCATCAGATAAAAATCAAATGACAATTACTGTAAGACAATTACGTGGTCGACCAGGTATTGATAATTGGCATCCATTACTTTTACAATTAAAAGAAACAGGCATTTCAAAATTATTAATTGATATTAAAACTGATAATCTAGATGATTTCTTTTCACAAGTATGAAGACAAAAGAAAAATGAATTTCAAAAAACAAAAAATAAAGAATTTTTGTTTTTTCTAGGCAAAACTTGTTGGTCTAGTCGGACCTTATTATGATTTTGTATTAACTTCATTGGTAATACTAATAGAAAATACAATTTTTATTTTCTTTTTTTTTTAATAGGATGTTTCAGTAGTTAAATGGGATAAAATTTTATATACATTAGTTAATATAACTGGTTTACAATTTTTTGGTCGAGATGATCCAGCAGTTAATGAATTTTTTGATTCAGATATTTTTACTACTAAACCTCCACTTAAACCCAATGAACGTTCATTACGAGTTTGAATAAAAAATTTGTTTTTTTTTTTTTTTGAAAAATTAATTTTCTAGGCATCTGCAGCATTAATGCATGATTCTGTTTATTTTTTTGCTCGAGCACTTAATCAATTTGTTGAACAACATTCATTTAATATTACACCATTAACATGTGATGCACAACAACCATGGATACATGGTTCAGCATTTTCTTTATTCTTAAAAACAGTAAAAATAAAAAAGACAAAAAAGATTTATTTTTTTTTTTTTGGAAATTAGTTCGAAGTCAATGGTATAACAGGAAAAATCAAATTTGATGATAATGGTCTACGAACAGATGTATCATTTGAAGTTGTTGATTTAGCTGATAATGGTGTTAATAAAGTATGAATAAATAAATAAAAAAGTAATCTTTTTATTTTTTTTTTATTTTTCAAGAATGGTCTTTGGTCATCAAATATTCCAAATCGCCTTGAAATTGAACGTAATTATTCAAAAGATTATGAAATAAGAAAACAAGAAATACAAAATGAAATATTAAAAGTAACAACACTTATTGTATGTATTGATTACTTTTAAAAAACAAAAGAATTTATAAATATTTATATCATAGGAACCACCATATGTTATGTTAAGTAAAGAAATCTATATACATATATTTATATTTATATAAGAAATTTAAAAAAAAATCTTTTAAAATATATTCAAAATTTCTTTAGATCCAAATGGAACAAATTCAACACAAAAATTTGTTGGTTTTTGTATTGATATTTTACTTGATTTAGCTGAACGACTTAATTTTACATTTGAAATTGAAATAGTTAGTGATAAAACATTTGGTAAAAAGAATGACAAAGGAGAATGGTCTGGTATTATCGGAGAATTAGTTCATCGTGTAAATAATCATTTTCTTTTTTTTTTTGGTTTTGACAAAATTAATTATACTTTTTTTTTTTTTTGTTTTTTTAATATTAGAGAGCCGATTTAGGTCTAGCTGGATTAACAATCACGTCTCAACGTGAACAGGTAATGTATTTTCATTTTCATATTGAATTGGAAATTATTCGATATGAGGAATATTAAAGAAAAAAAAAATCATTAATACGAACAGCTATGTAGAAAGAAAAACTCTTTTAATTAGAAGACTAGAAAATGACTTGATCTTGAAAAATTTATACGCCTGGGAATAATAGAAAACTTGGAGTTTCGATATCAGAGCTCCGAATGGGACGAAGAATTCGTCTTATGGAATAACTCGTTTTGTTCCATTCCATTCCATGTGACAAATCATATTATAAAAAGACTTTCAGAAAATTTAGAACCAATTTTTGTGGCTTCTTCATTCAATTACTGTAGCTCCCTTCATATGTGTATGTTTAGATCAATTTGTTAACTTGCTTCTTCCGTGTATACAGTTTCCGCTGATCGCCGCTTTTGTTTTTTGCTTTTCCAGGACATTAGAACATAGTCGAGATTGTTAGGAAAAGTACGGATTGTCTAAAGAGCAGAATTTGAAGCGATATCACACTCAGCTTAAAAAACAAATCTTTGAAAATAGGAGTACAGGTTGAATTCATGTAGAAAATATAGGACTCGACGTTCTCTTAATAGATGATCTTGTAAATTTTCATAATAAATTTATCTAAAGAGTTTTAATGATATTTAATTATATTCTAGGCAATTGATTTTACAAAACCATTTTTAACACTTGGTATAAGTATTCTATTTAAAAAAGCTAAACGTGACAAACCAAAATTATTCGGTTTTTTCTCACCATTCAATCGTGATGTATGGATTTATCTAATTGCTGCTTATTTTGGTAAATTTATTGATTTTAATTAAATTAAACTTTTCTTTTTTTGTTTTTAAATATTTTATTAGCTGTTAGTCTTTCACTTTATTTGGTTGCAAGATTATCACCATATGAATGGCGTAGTCCATATCCATGTCGAAGAACTCATGATGAATTAGAAAATCAATTTACATTATTTAATTCATTTTGGTTTCTTATTTGTAATATAATGCATCAAGGTTAAATTTAATAAAAAAATAAAATATTTCTTATTTAAATATTTCTATTTAAATAATAGGTACAGATTTAAATCCTATAGCAACATCAACACGTATGATTAGTTGTCTTTGGGGATTTTGTACATTAATACTTGTTTCATCTTATACAGCTAATCTTGGTTAGTAGAAAAGAATATTATAGAACATTGTTTTGTTTTTTTTCGTAAAAAAATATTTTTATATGATTAGCCGCTTTTTTAACTGTACAACGTATGCAAACACCTATTGAAAATGTTGAAGATTTAGCATCACAAACAACAATTGCTTATGGTGTACAACGTGGTGGTTCAACAGAAAATTTTTTTCGTGTATAAATATAATTAATTCAATTTTAAAATATAATGTACTCGATTGATTTTCAAATAAAATTATGATAGGAACATCAGACAAAAAAAAGACTTCGAATCATTGAAATTTAATTGATCAATGATTTTCGAATATAATATTCTAAAGTTAGTTCTCATCTACATACTTCAATTGTAACATTCGAGAGTTTTTGAGATCTTCAATTTCATTCAAGAAGTTTTTCTATAATCTTAAGTCTTCTCTCTATAAATGATAAAAACTATGATATTCCTTCTATCAAAAATTTATTTAAAAATTAATAGAGTACATTTATATTTTAAAATAAAATAGTAAAATTCTGATTAATTCTTGTTCTTTTTTGTTTAAATAGGAATCAAAAATTGCTACATATGAACGTATGTGGAATTATATATTAGCTAATCAAGCTAGTGTTACTGTAGCATCAAGTACAGAAGGTATTAAGAGAGTTTTAGCAGGCGATTATGCTTTTCTTATTGAGTATGTTTTTTTTTTTGTTAATTAATATTTAATAATTTAATGAAATTATTATAGATCAACAACAAGTGAATATAATATAATGAGAAATTGTGAATTAACATCAATTGGTGGTTTACTTGATTCAAAAGGTTATGGATTTGGTGTACCACAAAGTAAAAATAAAATATTCAAAATATGAATAAAATAATAAAGAAAAAAAAAAAAATTTTTTTTTATTATATTGTATTAGATTCACCATATCGTGATATATTAAGTGATACAATATTAAAATTACAAGATGAAGGTGTTATACAAAAATATTATAATCGATGGTGGAAAGAAGCTGCAAATTTAAAATGTGATGAAGAAGATAAAAGAAAAGAAATAGCATCAGCATTAGGTTTTCCTAATATTGGTGGTGTATTTGTTATACTTGCTGGTGGTTTAGTTCTATCAATGATTGTTGCTGCTGTTGAATTTCATATTAAAATACGTCGTAGAAATAAAGGAAAGGTATAATTAATTATTTCAAATAATTTATTTATCATAGAAAATATATTTCAGTTGTTTTTTTTTTTTCTTTTTACAATTAATGTTTAACAGAATAAATATATGACATAGAGAACGGATATTTTGAGGCAGATAAATTATAAAAGTGAAGTTATATTTTGTCGAAAATCAATTCTCCTTTTTTATGGAAACAATCAGTTAGGTGAACGATCAACATTGAATGCAACTGTACCAGATTAATGTTCGTCAAAAACTGGATTTATGAGTATAATTAATAGATCTTAGAATAATTATTGTCTATAAAATTATTGAAATGTTTTGAAATACATGCCGAAATGCGCTCGTATTTTACGATTTTCATTCTTCATGTAGATAATTTCATCAAAAATAATAGCAAATTCGTAATCTTCATAAAAAACTGCATCTATAGACATGTCATTTGAATCATTTTGATGAAAAAAAATTTTTTCAAAAATCCTGAGGAATGCGCATCTTATGCCTAAAATACACACCACGCAAGGTTTTTGAAAAAATTTTTTTTCGTCAAAAAGATTCAAATGACATGTCTATCAATGCAGTTTTTTATGGAGATTACGAATCTGCTATTATTTCTGGTGAAATTATCTACATGAAGAATGAACATCGTAAAATACGAGCGCATTTCGGCATGTATTTCAAAACATTTCAGTAATTTCATAGGCAATAATTGTTCTAAGATCTATTAATTATACTCATAAATCCAGTTTTTGACGAGCATTAATCTGGTATATAAAACTCTTTGATATCATTTATACTTTAAGTTCTAAAGGGGGAGCGTAATGGTTATGTTGCATCCTGTAGACTAATTTCATGAAATGCAAAAATGTCAGTGACTCTATTAAAAAAAGACTATTTATATACAGTTAACTTATAAAATGAGACAAAAATCCTTTGACAATATGAGCAATGTCATTAGTTTAATGTTCCATAACATCATTGATAGTGTTCATTGATTTTTGCATCACATATATAGTTTATTTTATACTTTGCGAACCCATATCTGTGCGATCAATTGCTTGTTTCCCGTTTTTATAATCGTCTTATAGATTTTTCTTACGAGAAAACCATTCTGAATGGTATCTTCAATATAAGATGAAATACTCTTCATCAGGTAAGGTCTGTTGAGACTAGATAAATCCTGTTTATTTATTGTTCTTCTTGAATTATGATTGTTTCACTGAATTTGTTACTCCTTATATCCATGAAATATTAAATTCTAATAAAACTAGATTATCTCTTCTTTCCTATGCGATATTATATTTTCTAAGGACTCAATATTTGAACAGTTATTTCCGAACTAATTTCTTTATTTAATGTTTTTATAAATATTGAACGAAGAATAAAAAAAAAAAAGAACAAAACACAAAAATTCAATGAAACATTCATAACTTCAGAAGGACAAAACATAGAGAAGAATTTTTCTAGATTTTATTTAATCTATATATGTTGTTATTTTTATCTCTTAGATTTCAATTCGTGAAGAATTGGGACGTTATTTTCGTTTTGCTGTTTTTCATGCCAAAGCACCAAAACGACGAATCAGTAATTTTGTTGGTGATAACTAAGAATTTGATTGTGATGCTCAAGATCATGTACAAAACAAAAAAAAGAAAAGACAATGATCAATTATATCAAATCAAAAAAAAAGGAAAAAAGATTTAACTATATTGTTATACAATAAATTCAACAAATGAAGAAGCGAAAAAAAAAACACAATTCTTATAGATATACATACAGAAGACAAAAAAAAAAATGTTCTTTTTTTTTTTTTTTTGATTATACAAAGGAAACAAATAGAATGATAAACATATCAGATCGAATTTGACTAATTATTATTGCTCGACGGAGATAAATTTTCTTCGTATCTTTTTCCTACTACACACTAATATAATAGAAATATCAGTCAATTACATACATATACAAAGAAGAGATAAACAAAAAAAAAATTTATAGATTGATATTAGATATCAAAAAAAAAAAAAACAAAGACAATCTATAGACGTATTTTTAAAGTCATCATTGACATAAACAAAAAATTTTCATATTGTTTATTAGATTTCTGTATTAGTAATAGAAATTGATTCTGATGTTGTTGTTGTTGGTGGTGGAAGTGATGATTGAGAATCTTCACCTGGTTCATCATCATCTAATGGTGTTTCTTTTTCTTTTGATGATTTTCCTCCTTTACGTTCTTTTGAACGTCTATTTTGAAACCAAACCTAAAACAAAAAAAAGAAATGTTAAATAACAATTAAAATGTATAAAATTTTTACTTGTATAACACGTAGACTAAGACCAGTATCAGCAACTAATTGTTCACGTTGAGTTTTATTTGGTTTTGAACATGAATCAAATGCTTTACATAAAATCTTAATAAATAAAAAAAAATAATAATAAAATATATTTTAATTAAATAAATATACTTCTAATTGTTGTGGTTTAATTGTTGTACGAGCACTTTTTTTTTCAGGTGCTGTTAAAGATGATGTAGATGGAAGAGTATTAAATGATCGATCACCATCATCTATTGAACCATCAGATTCATTACCTGATTTACCATTTGTTGGTTGTTGTTCATCAAAATCTTCACTTTCTGTACTACTTATACGTCGTTTATTTGTTTCCGATATTGGTGGAATTATATCTGTTGATGATATTGTTGTTGTTATTATTGATTCATTTTCTGTTGATATAGGAAGTTCTATAGATGGAGTTTGTTCTATAGATTTTTTCTTATTTGATCGAGGAGTTGTTGATTTTTTTTTTTCACCATTAGTAGTACTTTTTTTTCGTGATTTTGATGGTCGTGTTTCAGGTACAATAATAGATGATGTTTTATCTTCATTTGTTGATGTACTGAGAAAATAGAAAATAAATTAAAAAAAAAAAAAACTATATTAAAAGTAAAATTTATCAATGCAGATAATTTGATATGAGCGTATTAGATTTGTATCTGAAAATTTTGTATGAAGAATAATGTAAGAGATGTTAATTATTCAATCAAAAAGCTATACTCTAGTTATAACTATTGCAAATGTATTTCAAGAATAATCTAACGAGGGAAGGTCTCCAACTGATCAATCGCTTTTGCGTTGAGGCTATGTGCATCATGTAGATACAAATAAGCTATGAATATCCTTTAAAAAAGTTTGGGCTGCTAGCTTGTTGATAGGAAGATACTGCACTTTTACGGTATGGTTTTAAATGAATGCCGTGGTACCCCTCAGGAACACCAGAAAAAATGATTTTCAAATTTCCACTTGAAACAGACTTTACTGACAATAGTATTTTTGCGAAGGTTTCAGGTCTTTTTATTTGTTCCTATCCTGAAATGAGAACATGAAATCTTCTGATTTATCATATCTGTATCTACGGATAGCAACAGCAAAAAAGTCTGAAACTTTCCCAAAATACTATTCTCAGTAAGCTCCGAAAGTATAAATGAATTCTATTAAAAATAGAATAGCATACTTATTTAATGATGGTACATTTGATGAAGATGTTGGTGACATAAATGGAAATGGTTGACCAGGAGATGATGCAGTAAATGCTGGATGAAATCCATAAGGAGTTGGATATCCACTAGCATAAGCAGCTGCAGCAAAAGCTGGATTAAAAGCACCTTGAAATGCATTATATGCAGCAAAATGTGGTGCCATTGAATACATTGCAGCTAATTGTGCTTGTTGAGAATTTGTTGTTGATGTTTTACCATTTGTTGATGATGGTGGTGGTGGTGGTGGTGGAAGTGATGACATAAATGAAGCATTTAATAGACCCATTTGAGCAAGAAGATTATGTGAATGATTATTTGTATTACCATTTGTAATTTTTGTTTCATCATTATCATTTATATTATTAGTATCTGTTATATTAGATTTTCGTTTTTTCTTTTTTTTATTTGTTTGTGATGATGATGGTGGTGGTGGTGGTGATGATATATTATCTTCATCAATACCATTTTCATTATCTATTTTTGTTTTTTTACGTGAATTTGTTTTTGTTATTTTCTTTTTTGGTGATGATGTTAATGATGAATCATCAAGTAAATTTTGTGAAATAATTTCATTATTATCAATTAAATCCGATTTTTTTTTTGATATATTCGAATTTGTTTGTGTCATATCAAGTGGTAAATTTGTTGATGGTACACCAAATGGTGGACGATAAAATGTTGCCATACCAGCAGCTGCTTGTGGTGAAAATGGTACACCAGGACCAGGTGTAACAAATGGAAATGGAAATGGATTTGTTGAAGTATTATTTGAACGTATATCATTAAGATTTGATGATGGTATTGTACCAAATTCAAGTAATGAAGAAAGTGCCGATGGTTTTTGTGTTGTTGTTGTTTGACGTGAATTTTTTGTTGGTGTTATAGGACGTGCTGGTGTACCTGGTTCAACATTTGTTGATATATCCATTTGTGATGGACTTGATGAACGATCAAGTGAATCAGTATCAGATGTATTAGCTGAATTTGAATCAGTTACAGGACCAGATTGAACTTGTGTATTAGTTAATGATGATGATGGTGGTGGGGGCATTGGAAGTCTTGATTGTAAAGGAAAATTTGGTGGTAAAAATTGTGAAGGTGTTGGAAATGCTGGATTAAAATTTGGAGGCATAAAACTAGGTGTTAAATCAGGTTTCATTATTGAAGATATTGACATTGGATTTGCTGCAAGACCACTAAGTAATGATAATGGTTCAGACATTTTCGTTTGTGATATAAGTGATGGATTTGTTGTTGTTGTTGGCGGTGGTATTGATGAAATAATTGTTGTTGATTTAGATTCTAATTCAGATTTTTTATCATCAGAATTATTTGATGATTTTGTTTTAACATTAGGTGAATGAGTATTTTCTTGTTCATTATCATGAATATTATTCTATACAAAAAATATATATAATAAAAACTTTTATTTCGAAACTTCATAAAATGTTAGTAATTCTAGCAACAATTTATGAATGCATATTTTCGTTAAGACTTTCATTAAAAATCGATTTTCAGTTGTATACATTCAAATCGCATAAAAATTTTCATTTTTCCTATAATAACACTTGTAGGAAATATTCAATAATTGAGAGTCAAATATAGCTCATTAGACAAGTGATATTCTCTGTGAACTCTCGTCTTATAAAGTCTATTTTTGTATTTGAAACAATAATGTCATTCTGTAATCCCATTTTATTTAAATTCTTACTATTTTTAATACTAAGAAGAAAGATAATAAGTTTAATAGCTTGGAAAATGATTATCTATTTATAGATACTGCTTTTTATATTATAAAATACGAACTTTGTAATTTGACATAATCTTTCAGATAATAAAACTTAAACGATTATAATAAATTCTTAAATACAAGAAAGGTCGAAATTATTTAAAATTTTAGAAAATTAGTTATCAATTTTCAAAAATCACTTCATAAGACGAATAATTTGAACTGTATAAGAATACCTCTTCAGTTAAATCAGCATTATCGTGATCTTCTTCTTCATCATCATCTTCAGTTTCATCATCATCACTTCCACTTGAAAAACTTCGTTTTCGATAACGTGTTGTTTTTGTCGTACGACGATTACTTGATCGTCGTTGAACAGTTGAAGTATTAGTAGATGTAATAGTTGATGATTTTGATCTTGTTGCTGGTGAACGACCTTTTCTTTCATTAACAATAGTCTGTTTTTGACGAGACACTGATGTTGTTGTTGTTTTAGTTTTAGCTGGTGAACGTTTACTACCATTACTACTTGTACTTTGACGAATTTTTGATTGTCGATTTGTTGATTTTGATAAAATAGGAATTGATAAATTTGGTGATGGTGATTTATCTTTTATAGATGATATTAATGTTTTATTTATTGTTGATAAAGATTCATCAATATCCATTTTTTCTTGTTCATTATTAATATGATTATCAATATTTGTTATATCATTATTAATTGTTATTAATTTTTCTTCTTGTTGTATATCAGATGATGATGATGATAGTTTTTCATTGATTGTATTTGAATCAATTATTTTATCTAGAAGAAAAATTTAATTAAAATTAATTAAAAATAAAAAATGCGACAAAACAAACTTTCATTTGTATTTGTTAATAAAATATTTTCATTTAATAATTTATCTTGATTAGAACATGTTTGACATAAATAATCAAGATCATTTAATAATATATCATTTGTTTTAAATAATGATGTTATATCATTATCTTGTAATGTACATTTACATTTTATACATATAAAACATTCAGCATGATATATACGACCAAGACGAATACGACGAATTAATTCATCGGATTTAACAAGATTTTGACAAGCAAAACAACGATGAATATATTTTCTAAATAGTTTTTCTTTTTAGTAACGAAACAAAAAAAGAAAATTAATTTAAAATTTTTACTTTGTAAAATCATCTTTACAATAAAGTTTTCCTTCACGTGAATAACATTGTTCATTAAGTAAACATCGACATACAAAACATCGAACACAATCTGGATGCCATAAATGATCAAGAACATTTGATATATATTGATTATACATAGGTTGAGAACAACCAAAACATTGATTCATTGGTGTTGGCATACTTAAAAAAGAGTTATTATATTTAAATAATTCATAGATTAAATCAATAAACATATTATAAATGTTCAATCATAAATCTGTCTGTTCAGAAACAGTGTTTCAAATTTCTGAACGGATCAACTTTTTTAAATGAAATTTGATGTAGCTTTCAATAGCATTCTTGAAAACGACATATCATTAAAGATGTGAAACATTTTCTAGTAGAGCTCAGGAAAATGCTAACTTTTTTTTGCAAATTCTGATTCAAATTTTTTTCCGATAGAATTTCATTATCAATGTATATAAGTTTTCATTTGGGACTCATGCTCTCTGATGGAGATCCAGGATACTGAAAAATCCTGGTTACGTCACTAATTTTACGTATGACAGTTATTTCTTATATTGTTATGATAGATGATGACATTCAATGGAGTATTATTATCATTAGTTTATAACTGAGATGGTTATATGATGTTACTTTGTACAGTTTTTGTAAATATTTTTATATGCGTTTGTTTTTGTTAAAAATTGAATAGAACAAAAATGCTAATATCTTATAAAATTAGTAAAATAGAATCAGATCTATTTATATGATTTCTCAATTAAAACGATTAAGAATTCATATAGTTACAAGTAACGTTCATCGACATTGAGTGTCGATTCCCTTGACTGATGGAATGATGACAAAGATGTCCTTATATTTTTTTTGAATAAAAATGAATTCAGTATAATGATGAGTTTAGGAGAAATTATTAATATTTGTAACATGTTGTATATTACATACTATAGATATATTCAAATAGTTCACAGAAAATATTGAAAGATGCTAAGATAGATGATAAAGTTTATGCTTTAGTTAATTATAACGACTAACATGGTGATTTATGTCAAAGTAATGATCATTTCTAATACGGACATGGCTAACTGTGCTGTGAAAATGGCGAATTTAGCCATAGAAACGGTCATCTGTATAATGAAAAGGGTCAATTGTGCAAAATAAATGGTCGCCTGTACCACCAAAGCGATACTTTTGTACCACGAAAATGGTCATTTGTACCAAGTGTTACAGACAGACACAGGTGAATTTCCGTTTCTAGACCCTAGCGTTTCAGTCTAGGGAATATTGAATTCGGTTAAAGAAGATCATTTTATAGTAAAATGTAAAATAACGTAATATTAAATAATTACGTTATGAGCGTTTAACTTAATTTTTGTTCTATGAACATAACATAGCTTAAGTCAAAAAAAACAAAAGCCAATTAATTTACCTTCGATTAGTTTGACGTATAGGTCTATTCAAATTATTATTTAAAGCTACAGGTGAAAGTGTCATAGGTGGACGTCGACGTTGTTGCATGATTAAAAAACTAAAAGAATTGAATAAAATAACATTTGAATTAGATGATTAATATATTATATAAGATATGATGTAGGACTTGTAAATCAACTAGATACTATAGAATAATTTTTTCTTTTTTTGGTTGACAGAATACGAAAAAACAAACCGCATTTCATACATGTGTCTAATGTCAATAAAATCTTTTTGATTTTTTTTTAGACAGGAAAAAAAAATGAATAACTCTGTTGTTGTTTTGTTAGTTTTACCTTTTAATTTGTTTTCTTTGTCGACCAAATATTTATTTTCATAAACATCTAGAAGAGAAAAAAACACAGTGACTATATATAATTTTATTGATGTTAAAGTTCAGTGCCATTGTGTTAAATTCTATTGATAAAGTTTGATTGATTTAAAATAGACCAATGAAATATTTATAAGATAGAAGAAAAAAAAAGAAATAAAAGATAATTCTTTTTTTTTTTATTTTTATTTAACTATTATTTTTTGTTTTTCGTATGAAAAATAATCATTGAATTATTTTGTTATAAATAAACATTAATCAACAATTGAACTTAATGAACAATAAAATGACTTCAACTACTGGTGTTCAACCACAGAATAAAAATAATAATAATGTGAGTTTTCACAATAATACAATGCTATACAAAAATGAATGTCTTCTGCTTACATATAATTTAAACGGGCGTGCCTTGAAGTCACAAAAATTGACCGAAAAGAAATGGCATTGCCTTAATGATCATAGCAGATTGAAAAGTGTGGAAATACCGTTCGAGATATCAATGTTTTTGCTATCTACTACTAAGTCTTGTATATTAAAAGAAAAATTCATCTTAAGTTATTTAATAAAAACAAGATTTCTCAAAGTCAAACAATATGAAATCATCCTACCTAACGCAAAATCGTAGAGTTTATATAACGAGAGTAATATATGTTCAATATATTATACTTTTGCGGAATGAATCTACTGTTATCAAATGTCTTATCATTTAGTTTTCAAAATTTCCACTTATTGCAGTTATTTCAAGTTCTAATCATGATGTAATTCAATTTTATGAGTTTTCTTATCGATTAAAATTGATAAAAATGAGAGGTTAATATCTCAAAATAAAAAACGTATGTTCTGATAATTGTTATTAATTTATAATATCGATAAATTTAAGAAAAAACAAAAAAATTAAATCCGACCTCTTATAAATTAGAATTTATCCTTTTTGATTAATTGATTTCTTGAACAATTTGAACTTTAATTAGACATGAAAATATGACTATTTAATGATCAGGTTTTTTCTTTTTTGAAGTTGAAAACCTTACATCTGAAAAATTTCTATGTTCGGACATAATAAAATAGAAATTTAATTAATTTTCTTAGAATGAACGATCAGATTTTATTAGTTTTGCTAATTTATCAAATCAAATTTATCGTAAAATAACTAAACATGGTTTTAATTTTACATTAATGATTGTTGGTAACTAAAATTTTTTTTTTGTTTTCTAAATATTTGATTATTAATGATTATTGTTTTAATAGGTGAAAGTGGACTTGGTAAAACAACATTAATTAATAGTTTATTTCAAATAAATCTTTATCCACAACGACATATATATATTGATCAAGGTAAATAAATTTCTAAATTATTTTTTTTTTTTTTTTTATTATTTTTAATAGAAAATTTTCATCAATCAATGAAAATTGAATCAACGATTGTCGAAATTGAAGAATGTGATGTTAAAATACATTTAACAATTATTAATACACCTGGTTATGGTGATAATATTGATTGTACTGATAATGATAAATTAATATTAAATTATATTGATAAACAATTAGAACATTATTTTAATGATGAAAATAGTCTTTATCGTCGACATATATCTGATAATCGTGTTCATTGTCTTTTTTATTTTATTTCATCATTAACACGAGGGTTTGTTTTTTCGGAAGAAATTATTTTCTTTTTAATGTTTATTGATTTATTTTTTTAGTCTTAAACCATTAGATATTAAATGTATGAAAACATTACATCATAAAGTAAATATTATTCCAATAATTGCAAAAGCTGATGCATTAACATCTAATGAACTTATTCAAATGAAACAAATTGTATGTAAACAAAAATCATTTTTAGACTACAAGATGATTCCATAAAATAACCTATTTTCATATATGCAGCAGTCGATTCATTCACCGCAGAGGTCTAAACAGGCCACGTTTTTTAGGCCTGCACAGCCTGTCAAGTTTTTCGAGCGAGTACAATAATAATGACAGACTAGAAACCAGAGGTTCAAACCAGAGATGTCCATCGCGGCTGAAAATCTGCCGCTGCCGCGCCGCGGCCTTAGAAAAAAAAAAGCTGCCGCGCCGCGACGGTTTATAAAAAAATGTTGCCGCGACGCTGCCGCACCGCGATGACTTATAAAAGAAACGCTGCCGCGCCGCTGCCGCGATGAATCATAAAATAAACGTGCCGCCACCGCGCCGCTGCCGCGACGGTTTTCAAAAAAGTGTTTCTAATTTCACTGATATGACTATATTTGACCAGAGATATGCGTACTAGTCCATCAGATTTATTCAATATCAGGGCGTTTCATTTGTAAATCCTGAAATTCTATTAAATTCATACAGTTTTTCAATGTCCTCCAAAAAAATCCTGCCGCTGCCGCGATGGTTTTTTAAAAAACCTACCGCTACCGCGCCGCTGCCGCGATGACTTTTAAAAAAATCTGCCGCTACCGCGCCGCTGCCGCGGTGATTTTTTAAAAAACCTGCCGCTGCCGCGATGGACATCTCTGGTTCAAACAGCGCACTAGGGCTGTTACTCAACCTGATCCTGACCCGCCTGTCATAGGCATCATTCATGCTTTTCAGACTAGTGCGAAAGTTACAAAAAATCAGAAAAGAAATTAGATAACAGATCTCTTTCCCTACAAGATTATCCTTCTACTTCTCTTTAATGATTCGAATTTTTTTCAATTAAATTTCTATTTAGATTATTGAACAAATTCATAATCATAATATTCAAATTTATCAAATACCTGATTGTGATATAGATGAAAATGAAGAATTAAAAGAAAAAAATTTTCAATTAAAAAATTCATTACCATTTGCAATTATATCATCAAAACAAATCTATGAAGTTAAAGGAAAAAAAATTCATGGAAGAATTTATCCATGGGGTTTAATTGATATTGAAAATTCTAATTATAATGATTTTCTTAAACTTCGAACAATGTTAATGTAAATTTTAAATTGAATATAAACAACAAAAAAAACATCTTCCAATAATAAATTTCTCTTATTTTTTTAGAATACATATGCAAGATTTACAACAAATAACACATAATATTCATTATGAAAATTATCGATCAGAAAAACTTCAATTAAAAAAAAAAACATAATGAAGGAAATTATTTTAGCTAAAGATGAATTTATTTAAAACAAAAAACTTAATTACATATTAAATTTTTTTTGTTATAAAAACTTAGTAATATTTTTGTACATTTTTTTTGTTATTTATGAAAAAATAAAATTTTCTATATACTTGATCTCATCATCCAATAATATAAATGTTGAAGGAAGAAAAACAGATGATGAATCATCATCATCATCATATGCAAAATGTCTACTATGCAATTTTTGCTTTCATTCTGCCTTTATAAATGTCGCTCGAGCAAGTGAAAAAGTAACTCTGATTCCGGAACAATCACAAGAAAATCTTTCGCCTTTTACTAAAGATTTCTGTGTTTCGGAATAATTCAATGAGTCTTTAAGACCAATTTTTGTTCCGCTCGCTTTGTGCGGGCCTTCAATCAATTGAAAAAAAACGCATAGTCTGTGTGACTATATTAAGTAGTTATTGTGTCATATACACAGTTGATACATGTACTACACACACCTAATCAAGGAAACAAGGCCCTTGTATCTATCGAAAATTTGAAAAGTTTGCAACTTTTTATTGCTTAATACGGTGTGGGTGTGGTCAACTCGAAATTTTCTGAATGTCTTATACAGAGAAAAAGAATAACAAGTTCCAGACCTCGAAAAAATGTTAATGTAATTCATTGAAGTGTACCTTTTTTTAATATAATAGTAAAAGTTTCATAAGATAAACAAATTCTACAACTTCATATGTTCTTTTAAACAGAAAAAAATTTCATTGATTTCAATTAAATTTCTTCGAAAATTTTAACGAAAAATAAAATATTAAATAAAAATCATATTCTCAACATCTATACTATAAAAAGTTGTGAAGTTCTACTTGTATATCTTAACAGAGGATATTTTCTTTTGCCAATAATACAATTATTCTTTGTAATTAACCAAATGTATATCTCTGTATTTTAATATTCAAAAAAAAAACATCTAGACTATTCCATGATTAATTTTACTAATTGATCATACAGAGAAAATTATTCGTACATCATTACAATGTCTATTGATGGATATGAATTTGTAACTCGTTCCTGCTGATATATTCTTTCTTTTATCAATGAATACAAGAGACTGATGTCAGAAAAATTTTCTTTCTATCATTAACCAGAAATATTGATTATCGATTAATATCGTTTTTCCGAGTTATGATTAAAATACAGAATAATACATAAAAACTAGTTCTGTTAAAATGTCCTAGAAGCTGAAAGCTGTCATATTCAATTATTTAAAAATCTTATCATAAGATGTATTCAATAGATAATTAACTTTATCAAGAAAATGAAAAAAATTAATAATAGATCGTTTTTAAATTTTTTCATATTACTTTACGTCACATTGATATAAAAAGAATCAAAATCAGACAAGTGTCATAATATGCATAAAATCATTGATGACTTCTCTCTCTATTAATAAATGTATTCCTTTTAAAAATAGAATTAATAATAGACCAAATTAACATAATTCTTACCTTTTGAATTGATTTTTATAACACATTTAAGATGACCTTATATTCATATGTATATGACAATTATATATATATATTTTTTTTAATTAGAAAAAAAAAAGAGAAACATTTTGAATAGAAATAAGGCACACTACATAAATCCATTCAAGAAACAAAAGAAAAAGATTTTTATACATAAAAAAAAAACAAATGTCACTGTGTCGTTTTCTGTGCGGTTTCTTTTCTTCTTTTGTTAAAAAAAAAAAAATATGAAGATGAACAGGAAAAAACAAAACAAATATGAAATTTTATTGCGATGTGAAGAAAAATATTAAACATCATCTCTAAAAGATAATAAAAACTAAAAATAATTAGTATAAGAAAATAAATAAAAATTAATGAATGTTTCTTTTTTATTTTTTTTTTCATTACCGAATATATTCAACATAATTAGCTGGAATCATGCCTTTATCTCCAAGACTATTTCTTGCTAACCACCATAATGGTTCAACTTTTTTAATAATCATTAAAATTTGTCCTTTTTTAAAAGGTAAATCTTCTTCATCCTATTTGAATATTCAATAGAACATAAAACATTTAAAAAAAAAAGCCATGAGAATTTATTACTTTGCCATCAAATTTATATTTTGTTCGTACACGAGATTTAGGATACTAAATAATAATTATTAATAACAAAAAACAATGCGAAATCTTTTAACATACAATTTTAACAAGTGGTGATGTATCAAGTAATCGTTGTTTATAAAAATTTAAAAGATCTTTCATATTGGAGAATGTTTTATCACCTATTTTATATATTGATTTTGCATTTTCTTCGCATACATTTATTATATAATGACTAACTTTTGAACCTTCTCTATATAGACGGCAAAAAAAAATGGAATTTCTAATGAAAAAAATTATTTATTTTACATACTTTACACAAAGGACAAGATCGCCTTTTATTGTACTACTAGGTCGCACAAGAAATGTACCATCCGATTGATTTTGTAATGTACTTATTGCTTCTTCACGACTCAATTCTTCAAATAACCAACTAATTTAAAAAGAAATAATAATAATATTATTTTATTAAAAATAATGTACCTATCCTCATCGCTGGCATTAAAATCAACGATTGGTGGAGTTGTAGTTGATAGTTTTTGTCCTATAACATTATTCATCCCATGTAACCGATCTAAAATATATGTTTGTATATATATATATATATATGACACAATCGTCAACACAACATTCATCCTTGTTCAAATAAACGATAACTAACTACCTGCAATAGTCATGATGCAGAGGTGTTGAGCTCAGTTATTGTTTGATAAATGCTGTCGAAAAGTAACAATGATTAAAACAAAGAGAGCATCGGTAGTCAAGATGAAGATGACGTGATCTTACAGGTCATCCACTTTTTTTTTCTTCGTCTCAAATAATCGCTGTGTATCCTCTTACTTTCTTCTTCTTCTTCTCCTATGTTCGCTGTAAGTAAATATCGTCGAACAAAGCGAAAGAAATATGAAAAGAAAAAATGACGATGCAGTTCTTATCATGAGATGGCATGTGTATGCATTTATTTTCATATTGAAGCGCCACTATTTGTTATAATGAAATTGAAAAATTGTGTCATAGACAATACATACATACACAACTGCTTCTATTGTTTAACAAAATCGATCATCTAGCATTGATGTACAGGCGGTCAAGTTTCCTTTCTCCTTCTTTTTTTTCTTTTTTTCTTCGTTTCTTTTGTTCTCATCGAATCAATCTTTTTTATTTGACCAAACAGAGTAAAAGAAAGAGAAAGAGAGCTTATACATATATATATATATGTATTTATATGTGTATATGTATGTGGACGAGTAATAATCATGACGTTTTTTGTTGTTTGTTAGTAGCTTAGTGGGTGGATGACTTGCTTCACTGCTCAACAGACTCTAAATACGTACAGGCACGCACATATATCTAGAAAGAAAGATTATGATGTAATAAAGAAATCATATGCGTATGTGACCAGATGTTGCCTATGTATTTATATATATATATATGTATGTATGCTAGACTAAGACAGCAGGAGGTACTTATTTCTTACTGTATCATTCTTCTTTTTTTTTTTTCTTAGCTCTTTGTCTCAATGAGAAACAGAAAAAAAAAATCTAGAAAATCAATATTTATTTATCCTGACAAAAGAAGATATTATTCGATTAATCAATGTCATTATGTACATAGACGATGATAAGTGACAAAATTCTATCGATTGTTCTTCATAGGAAACACGTAGAGTTCATTGAAATCAAGGATAGATAAACAATTGGACTAATAAATAAAAAAAAAAAAAAAAATAAGTAATAGAATGTAGACCTTCCATCTTATGTACATCCTTGACGTTACTAAATAAGCATCATTCGGTTACTCTCTAGGGTATGAAAACAATTGCGTTCATCTATCATCTTCCTTTATTTTATGTGTTCTCTGTTTTCATACATTAATCAATTTCTAATAGTGGACAGAAACACATTCCTTTTTTTGATCCCTCTCGGTTAATAGCTTTTAACAACGAAATAGTTCATTACTATTCTAAACATATATATATTCAAGGATGTCATAAGTAGAAATGACCTTTAAAAGCTATTAAAAATTTCATTTAGTTTCTAGTATGGAAAAAATTTGTTGAAGTCATTATGTACTTGATATTAGGAGTAATATATATATATAAAGAAAGATACTTTGTTTAAAATGAACTATACAAATACTTAAAGACAAAGAAAAAAGGAAATCATATTTTCTACACACGTATAAATCTATATGAACAGCAGATGTCTAATTCTTTTTTTTGTTATTGTTTCTATACAATTCGACCATAAATATTCCAAAGATAAATTACTAATGAATTATCATTATTATTATTAAATGCTAAACATGTATAAAGTAATTCATGAAATTGTTGACGTATTAATTCATTATTTAAGATTTGTTTTAATATTGTATTATCATTTGATGTTATTAATTTTTGAAGAATATTAATTAAAATTAAACCATATGTTGTATTAGAATTTGTTTTATCAAAATAGATAAATAATTCAGTAAGTATTCGTTCAAAAACTACTAAAAAATATGATGGATAACAACCTAAAATTAAATAAAAAAAGAAAAGAAAAAATTGAATAAATTTTTATTCAATAGAAAATAAACATACTAGATCTCAATTTCAAAAATAATCTGATATTCCTTTTTTTTTTTTATTGAAAAGAAAACATATTCTATTCTTTTAAAATATGAAACCTAAGATATGAGTCTACTCTCAATTCATACTCGAACCTTCTCTTTACTACAAAAAAAAAACAAACATTAGATTTATATGTTAAAATATAAAGTCTTTTTTTCATTATATGATAGTAGTATCTTTCTTTTTACTACTCTCTTCTTATCAAATTCAAATTCATCGAAAAAAAAGAATCTACATGTATCATTATAAAATTTTGTAATCAATAACAAATGTTCGACATTCACATTTAAATATATACATACGGAATAGAAAGGACTTCATTCTTTACATTTGTGTTTTTTTTTTTGAGTAATCATTAGATTAATTTGTTATATTTTCCAGATTAGTATAAAATACAATCTATAGTCGTCTTGATCTTCTATCTTGCTGATCAGCAAGACAAAACAAGAAAAGAACAGAACATGCCAATTTGTCATATGATCTTATCTGCTCTACATACAGTGAACAAGAGATAACATGGCACAATAGTAAATAAATCAGCTAATGATTGAAAGTTCAAGGTTGATCTATTTAGTTAAACTAAATAGAACATATTTGACATTGAAATCAGATTATAAAAAGAAAAACGAGAATAATATTTATGATTACAAATTTAATGCAATATTAAATCTATTAGTTCGATTTATATTTCAATTTGAGAATTGATAGGTATACACCAATAATTGATCCATATATAATTGAAAAAAAAAAAACTTTCGGGTTCTTATCTAGTATAGCTCAAACATTTTATCTGATAATAACTACTTCTTCAAGGCTATCAAAACAAATTTCTTTGGTGTAATTATAAAAGAAAAATAAAACTCTTTTTTATCTGATATCTTTTCGTTTTTTGCATGACTTTTGAATGAATCATTATTTTAAGATATTCAAGGTATTTGAAATAGAATCTAAGATAGCCAACAATTCTTTATCTGTTTTGTGCAAAAGAGAACATGATAAGCAGACTCATGTCTGTCCTGCAGGACAAAAAACAATGTTCTGCGATATATTCTGTAGTGTACATCTAAACGATTATAGTAAAACAAGACTAAAATTTTCAGTAGCCACTTACAAGAATAATGGCAATGCAGCTGAATCGTTAAATTCCTGTCGGTACTATTAAACCGCTCGAGTGTTGGCTATGATAGCTAAGATATTTTTAAACTTTTTCGGCCATTAACAATAACAATACAGTTAATCGGCTTATACTTCTATTTGTAATAACTTAATTTATTGTGAAAAGGATAATCTATCATGCCATTCTTTAAATATAAAATAAATACCGATTTGTTCAATAAAAATTTGACCATTAGTAATTATCATCGATTGTTTGATATATATTAATATTAAATTAATAAATTGTCGTATATGTTGAATAGAATGTTTTTGAATATTTGGTATAATATCAAAATTAAAAATCGTCTGAATTAATTGTTTAAATAGAATTTCAAATGTTTGTTGTTGTATTTGAAAAAAATTTTCTTTAATTAATTGAAATATACGATCAATTGTTTCAATAATAATTATTTGTATTTCAATATTAAATTCAGTTGATATAATGAATATATTTTGAAGAAAATTTTTATAATATTCAATTAAATCAAGAAATTTTTTTTTTGGTATTATTATTGATATAGATTTTCTAAGAGAATGAATATCTAATAAAATTTGTTCATATTGTATAGTATCATTTATTTTATTTTGTCGTATAATATTTTGTAATTGTATCGTATATTCTTTTGGTGTCATATGTGATGGTGTTAAACGAATAATAGCTATTGTTAAAGCAAGTTTTTTATAAAAATTTTCATTATATACAAATGTTTGAACATTCATTATTTTCTAAAAAAAAGAAACAAACGAAGTGATATTTCAAATAACTTAAACAAATATTATCGAATTAATGATTGTTTTTTTTTTTTATTGAAATAAAATTAAAAAAAAAAAGAAATAACAATCATCATAGTGTTGAATACATTTTCAAATAATGGTTAGCAAATGGTGAATTCGGAACCATAATAATAAAACTTGGCATACCAAGTTGAATAACAAATCTAATTTAGAAAGAACATATTAAAAAAAAAAGTAGAACAGAGTAATTGTAAAAAAATAAAATTATACCCTGGTAATTGTAGTACTTCAAGTAATGTTTTATCAGATGAAACCGTTTTTAATTCATGTTTATTTTGATCTTCATAATAGATCTAAAGAAAGAAAGAGAGAAGACGATCAATAACTGTTAAAAATATTCTTCTTCAAGAATCTCCTATATCAAACTACCCATTACAATGTATTCGGATGGAATTAGTCAATGGCTGTCACATCTATAATCAACACTTTTTATTTGTTCATTTTATGAGTGACCAGACTAATAAAAATATCGAGAAAAAGATACTCATCACATAAATAAATAATTAAGAAGACTATTCTCAAGATATGATTGTTTTTTATCTGATATGTATTAGATGTATATTTCAGAAAATTTCGCAAGATCTTCTTTTCATCAAAAAACTCATTCATGAACTCCTTTCAAGGTTGGTCATTAATACACAATAAAAATAGAATTTTTATAAAGTTCGTTTTTGACCGAATTCTGATGGGAGCAAAAGATAAATTTTTCGACGAAAAGAAATTCTTGAATTTTACATGTATTAAATATCCGACAAAAAAAATCCTATAAATTTGTATCTCGAGTATAGTTTCCTAAAGATTTCTCTGTAGTTAGTGTTTTTATTTCATTTTGAAATCGTTTAAAAAGCATCTGAGAATTTAATTTGATAGAAATCATATTTCTATAGGAACTGATTTTATCTCTTCTCCTTTTTTCATAGAATTCTATTCTATAAAACTTACTCCAATTTGATTTAATGTATATTTTCCTTCTTCATCCCAAGGTGCACGAGATTCAAACATAACCGATAATTGATCGATAAGTCTAAACAAAAAAAAAAGAAAATATCATATATAAATTATTGATTTAAAATAAATTTTACTTTGTATTTTCATGAAATTCTTTAATATAATCGGTTTGTGCGTATTCCGGATAAAGAAAAACAACAGGAAATGTTAATGTTTGATCAGATTCATTTAATTGTACACAACTACCAGCTGGATTTGTACTAATATTAAATATATCAATAGTTGGATCTTCTTCTAAATGAATATTTCGTTGCTAATGTAAAACAAAAGAAAAATCTTGTAGAATATTAAATTTATAATTAATCAATTTGTTTTTTGGTTATACTCGAATAGCATTGAGAACTTTAGTATGTTCACTTTTTTGTTTTCTTTCACGACCTTGTTGTTTTCGTTCATTACGTTCTTTTTCTTTCTAGAAAAAAAACAAAAATAAAAGAATTTTTGTTTATTTATTTACCTGTAATTTTGCCGCTTGATCACGCATTTCAATAAGTTTAGCATTATTATTAGAAAACATTTAATAGAAAAAAATAAAATTTTTGTTAAGGAAAAACAAATAAACGAAAATTTAAAATAGATTAACGAAAAAAAAGAAAAGGATACTGTTAAACCAGTTGAACACCATATTTGAACATCTTTATATTTTTCAAGTTTCATACATGCTTCAGCACCTTTAATAAAAGCTTTGAGATGATCAGATTTACATTTTCGTGATAATACACAATCACGTAATGCCGAACGATAATTACCTAAATGAATAATTTTCTATACAAGAAAATTTAAAAAAAAAAAAAAATTTTCATATTTACCCAAATAAAAATTAGCTGTTGCTCGATTACAAAATAATATAGCATTTATTGTAGGATCTGAACAACGTTGTTTTATACCTTCAGTATAAGCAATTATTGCATTACGATATTTTTTATATTCATAATATTTATTGCCTTCTTCTTTATATTTATTTGCTTTATCTAAATTATTATTCATAAAAAAAAAAACTTAATATAATTCAACTTAGACAATATAATATATGCTATAGCTAGGAATTCTTATAGATACTATGAGAAACAAAAGACTAATTTTTGTATTTTTCTTGACTTCACTGAATTAGAACTATGGAGGATAAGGGCAAGAGAATCAAACGAATACAAAAAACAAGCATTGGCTTTAGAAAAATCAAATTAAAACTAATGAAGAATTGATATTAATCTGTTGAAAAAAAAATGACCTATAACATAGCTACGCAAACCTAGTTTAATATTTGATACGACAATTAATTCATAGTGCAACTAGAAGAATCCATTGCAGAGCAATGATAAACTTGTTAATAATATATTGCTGATTGAAAATTTCCAAAGAAAAAGTACATTTTTATGCTCCGTTTTACATTAGAAATAAGAAGAACATGATGTTATTTGATAAAGGTAGACGAGTATTAGTGTAAGACTACTGCCGGAATACTATTGGAGGAAAGATTTTTTTCAAATGAAAAGCACTTTTAAGGTTATATATGTATAAATATTTCATTCATCGTTATTTGTATTTATGTAATAAAATTTACTTAACACTCGTGTTTGCTTAGTTTATATATAATTATGTTTAAATAATGTCTACACGAAAATCTTTCTCTTTTTCAACACATGTCAAAGATGATACAGAAGATATTTTCATTATATCTGATAATTTTTATACTACATTGACTGTAATGACATGCAAAAAAGAAATTTCAACAACAGTTAATAGTTCATAGTGCTGAATTTTAAAAAGGAGCATCGAATACTTCCACTGCAGGACAGATCGGCACTGTGGGAAATTTTTTGAACAAGACGTTAATAAATAGCAGCACTGAATAACCATAGACAAATAGAAATAGAACTTATGGGAAAGACAGTAAATATTTGATCATCTTAGACGATGATCCAATAATTGAGGTTATTGATTGAAATAAAATTATTGTGCATTATTCATTCAACAATTAAGATAGAATCTGTCATAGAACGGAAGTGTCTAAGTGAGAATCTGTCCTACATCAATTAAAATTTCCTGCTCTTGTTGATCAAAGCGGCAACGTGATAAAGAAATTAACTAATTTTCTTGCATGTCGGAAAAACTTAGTTTTCAATCTCTTTTGATGTCATAAATTAAGTCTAAATATTTCATTATGATACATAGATATATTTATGATTGTGTGCTAAATTTTAGCTTTTATCAATCGTTGTATTTTCTACAGAAGTTCGAAGTTTTTCTATGTCAAAACCAGAATCGGCGAAGTATTGAATTGACTTTGTAAAACTATTTTTGATGACATGTCAAACACATACCAACAATAGTGTAAATGACTAGTATGAAAGAAATGAAGTTTTACCCATGATCCTCGATATATCTATAATTATGAAAAAAATATCTATCCTTCATACATCTACATGAATTCATTAGAACTATAAATATTGTAGTGAGGTGATGTTATGGTATATGTGACACGGTTACACCAGACTTTCTCCTAAATTGATTTTTTCGTTTATCGTCATATAGAGCCTAATCGATTAATTTACCATGATGACAAATGATCCGCATTTGGTATATAAGCTATCATATGATAATATATTTATACTAAAATGATACGGTCGCGAAAGTGTTTTTGATATGAGTGTGTAGTGCGAATTTGACTTTACACATTTTGCTATTTTATTATGTGGTCAAGTTCTGTATTAGAGATATATGATGATGAATATTTTAGCCTTTTTTTTCCAGCACTTTTACAGTGTCCGTCGTATCTTTCTCCAATTTTTCGAATCTATGAGACTCATTCAAATAGAAATTTATAGCAAATCTTGTGTCATCTTAGTAAATAAATCGATTATATTCTACATGGTTTGAAATGAGAATATTGATTTGAAGAAATTTATGCATAAAGTCTCATATATACCATATAATGATATTTTTGTATTTTTCATATGAAACTAAAATTACTACCTAAAGGTGTATCATCATCATCATCCCATTTCAATGCTTGTAAAGCTTCCATAGCTGGATGAAGTTCAGCACCATCATCTGGCATTTCTTTAAGAAAGAATGGATGCCGTTCTAAATCCTAATATATATATATAAAATTGAATAATTCATCGTACATAATGATTTATTATTCATCTTACTTTCCAAAAAGCATCATCAAGTTCACCCGCTGGTAGATGATCTTTGTCTTCGACAAGTTTATCGATGAATTCATCGAGTTGTCGATCAAGTTCTTCAGGTGTAGGTGTTGCCATCTGGAAAAATTCTGTTTTTTTGTTTTTTTTTACTTTATTTTATTTATTTTCCGAACAAATCAATCTTTAAATTTTATTTGTTCTTTTCATTTTGTGCGAACATGACAAGAATACGATACACACAAAAGAAGAAAGCCAAGACTAAGCATAAAGACAAAAAAAAAGAAAACGAGAGCAAGAAGAAAAACCAGAATAATAACAGAAAGACAAAGCACGCTTATTCTTCTTTCTTGGAATGGTTTTAACCCATATTTTACCTATATGATGTTCTTTCGATTGTTCGAAACAAGAAAAACAACAACAACAACAAAACATGACGAAAGAATTCAGCGTAGATGAAATAACATAATTTTTTCAGAAAGTTATCTCTTGCAATAGTAAAAGAAAAAAAAAAAAAGAACACACACGCTGTTTTTTGTACAAATAATCAAGAATGTTTTCTTTTATTATTTTTTTTCTCAAGTGCGAACCATTTTTGATCGATTGCCATCATCATATAATGGTAATAATTCAATATATCGTGTTCCCATATATTTTTTATGAAACCTAAAAAAAAAAACAAAATAAGAATATCATTTATTCATTATTAAATAACATACGTCAAAGCTTCAGTTGCTTCTTCACGTGAACCAAATTCTGCATACCATATTGGTGGTTTACCACGTGGTGTATTTTCTTGTTCAAGTCGAATAGGTACAACAGGACTGAAGAACTAAAATTAACATAATAGAATCATAATTCAAGTTTTTCGAAAAATAAATAATCATGTTTAACTACCAAAGATTTTTCTCTATAAACGAACTATTTATTTATGTCCTAGTACATATAATTCAAACTTTTGATAGTGCAAACAAATGTACAACATGAAATATCTTATTTCAATTAATCATAACATGTAGAACAGTTCGATTTGAAACTAATCATATCTTTCATGTTAAAATAATTTTAGTTGTTGCATTCCTACCATTGGTAATATATTTCAAAGCTTTTTATATTAGCTATGGTGATCAGATATTTTGTTTTTATATGACTAATATTTTTTGTTTAGTATTACGAGAAAATTAAATATTCTATCAATGAAAAAGATGTATATTTCATTTTGTCTTACTTCAAAAACTTCTTTTTCACCAGCTTCAAATGGTACACCACGTATTTTCATAGTAAATGATACAGCCATTGGACCTAAAAAATAATATATTTCTATTAAAATATAAAATTTTTCTCAATTCTTACGTTTCATTGCACCACCACTACTATTACTAGTACCACTCATTTGATTATTCATCGGATAATTATTACCACCATTGCCATTTCCACCATAATTGTAATTATTTTGTGGTGGACCATCATATTGATTCATACTATTATTATTATATCCACTATTATTACCACCACCACTACTACCTCCACTCATACTACGACCATAACCACCAAAATTTTCTTGTCGTTGTTGTCCATAATTTTGATTAGGTCCACTACCACGTTGTCGTGCCATTGATTGTGTATCATTCATGATTGAGGCACGAGCTTCAGCATATGTCGATTTGAATACTTCGATATAGCTGTTTTAATGATAATTATATAATTAAAACATTAGAAGATTTTTTATTTTTTTTTTTTAGAAAAGAAAAAAAATTAAAATGAAATTTAGAAATAAAACAGGACATAAGAGGGAATATGGATATAATAAAATAAAAGAAAATAAAAGAACATTGATTGTTTTTTTTTTTTTCCTGTAAATTAATCGAATAGGAAATTAAAAAAGCAAAATGATTAAAATTATATGCAAATAAAAAAAAGAATATTTCTTTTTTTTTTTTTTTTTTTTTTTTTTTTAAAATTTTATTCGATCAATTTAAATAATAAAGAAAGATCCAAAATCAATTTTTTTTTTTAATATTCTATTAGAGGAAAAGAAGGTATTCTTCTGTCTCAGATTACCGTACCGATGCCCCATATTCATGCGGTTGAATTCCAAAGCTCGTAGGGCATTGTCCATGTTCATAAAAGCGACGAAAGCCTCGCCTGCCGGTTTGCTGGAGGAGATGTGAACACCATTCTGAGCTATGTCGAGTCCTACAAGGTGAGGCAATCCCAAAAAAATAGACAAAAAACAAGACAAAACAATAGAGATTTTTTTTTTTTTTTTTAATAATACAGAGAGGAATTTTCCAACTTGAAAAATCTCTTTATTCTCTTTACGCTTTGATCAAATTTATTTTTACATACCATCAAAAAAACGTGTAACATCTTCTTTGCTTGAATTATATGGTAAACCACGTAAACGAACAACTGGTTCACGCCAATTATCATTAGTTGTATTTGAAGAATTACTATCACTATTTTGATGTGTATTTATATTTGTATTTTTTGTCATTTGTGCCATTTCATCAGCATTAGATTCAAATACTTCAATATAACCTAAAAATTCAATCGGTTAATATCAATAACCACTTGAAAAAAAGATTCATGAAACAAAAAAAGAAGAAAATTTGAACTAATGATACTATTAACCGAGGCCCTACTAAATAGAAAGTACAAGTTTGGATAAAAAAGCTACATTAAAACATATATTCCTTTCTCTAATGACATAACTAGATGTCGGACAAAATTGCAAAGAGAACTGTAGCGTGTTCAGTCATGGATCATTGCTCAAACTATGACAGAATAATATATTAAATGATTGATCTATATTGAAAATCATTTGTTGTCAAATTACAAAAAGTCTTTTACTGAATATATATATATTTGATTATGAAATACGTACGACTGCCAAGATTTTTTTGATGAAAACTTTTTGCAAGATCAACATCTTCATTTGATTCTAATACAACAAAACATTCTCCAGTAACTCGACCTTGATCATTAGTTACAAAATTTGTTTGACGAATTTTACAACCTAGAAAACAAAAAAATAACGATAAAATTATTTTCTTTTTGCTTTGTTTTATTTATTTAATCAAAAATAAAAAAGAAAACTTTTTAATTTAATCATTATATTATAAAAACCTTGAAGAAAATTTTGAACTTCAGTTTGTGTCGTATTCCATGGTAAACCACGAAGACGTACAATAAAATTTGTATTACCGTATGAACCGTTCATTATTAAAAGATGTAATAAGAATATATTCAAAAATTAATGAAATGAACAACGAAAGATCATTGTTATTTAACAACCAATTAGATAATATCTAAAATAAAATAGAATCCTTTCTATAAATAGAAAATATTTCTTTCTATTAACACATTAATGCATATAAAATCAACCAATCACAAAAAACTATTTATTTATCACATTGTATTAATTAAATTTGGTAAAATATGGAATAAAAAGAACAAGTTCTCGATCAGATTAATCTAATTTATTGGAGTAGTAAAAAAAAAAAAAGAAAAAACAATGGATGGTCAAGATCCAACATATAATCCAAATTTAACTTCATCACATTATAATCCAATGATTTCACCATTAACATTATCAACAACAGATGCAAAATATAATTCATATGATATGAATGTTAATGAAAATAAACCATTTAATGATGTCAATGGTATGATACAACAAATAATGTCTATTGTTGATCAAAGTCTTGATGAAGCTCAAGCACGGTTTGTATTGATAAATTCAAAGAAACAAAAAAATGAAAGGATTTTTATTGTTTTAGAAAACATGCATTTAATCAAAGTCGACTTAAACCTGCATTTTTTCAAGTTTTATGTGAAATAAAAGAAAAAACAGGTTTGAATTTTTCTTCTTTGAAATATTTAATCATGATTCTTTTTTAAAATTTTTTAGCTATTAATCTTCGAAATTTTCCTGAAGATGAACCACCAGATGCTCAATTAATGCGTCTTGATAATATGTTATTAGCTGAAGGTATTGCTGGTCCAGAAAGATTAGGTGGTTCATCATCATCATCAGTTGCAAATGCAAATGCAGCTGCAAGTATTAATGATGAATCAGCACTTGAACATGGAGATTATCGAGCAAAATTAACACAAATTCGACAACTTTATCATACTGAATTAGAAAAATATGTATGTATTGAACGAAGAAAATTATAATCTTAGTGATAGAATCACATAGATCATATTTTCTGGACTGTTAATATCATGAAGATCGATAAAAAGTAGTTTCAGTATCTTAGGACTCGACCGTTCGAGTATAGAAGATGTGCGTTACAACAAAAAAAAAAAAGTCGGAGCCGAAGTCAATAATCATTCAAACAGATGATAGTGAATTCGGATCATTTGTACATAATTTTTGTATTTGTTTTCTTTTATAAATAGGAACAAGCATGTAATGATTTCACTAGTCATGTTATAAATTTATTACGTGAACAAAGTCGTGCACGACCAATATCACCTAGAGAAATTGATCGAATGGTATCAATAATTCGAAAAAAATTTTCATCAATTCAATTACAACTTAAACAAAGTACATGTGAAGCTGTTATGATACTTCGTTCAAGATTTCTTGATGCACGGTAATATTTTGAAGAAAAAGTCAATATTATCTATTGTTTTTTTCACTTATTTTATATTAGACGAAAACGTCGTAATTTTAGTAAAACAGCTACTGAAGTTCTTAATGAATATTTCTATTCACATCTATCAAATCCATATCCAAGTGAAGAAGCAAAAGAAGAACTTGCTCGTAAATGTGGTATAAGTGTGTCACAGGTAATAAATATCTTTTTATATCTACATTAACAATGAATAAGCTAAAAAAAAAGCATTTTACCTACTTTTTAAATAGTTTCTTATAGAGATCTGTAGTTTTTGCTATGGGTTTGAATCTAGATGAGATCCTAACAATAGAAATGAATGGTTACTATTTGAAAGGATTAGAACTAATGATTTAGTATTATGAAATGCGAATATTTAATCATCATCTGCCAAAATGATTTATGATAATCATGTCATTTATGGTTCATTCTATATCTCTACAGTAAAATAAATTCATCTAAATTTAATCGTAACATCATTTGCATAAGCTATACCTATGATTAATTCGAAATACTTCATTAGGATGACGACCACTAATCTTTTGTGTGAAATATGTGCTTATTTTTCGGTTACTAAAAGACAACTGATGAGAATTCAAATTTGAATGTTTCACTGTTTCCGAATATGCATTGATAACGAATAGTTATTGTGGCGAAGTAGTGAATTGGCAATCGCTGCTTTTAAAAATTTCAAAATCTATCATGTAAAAGTAAATAGCAAACTTTGCTCTGAAAAATTTAGCCATTAAAACCTGTTTTTTCAGTTTGAATTTCATACAAATACAAAATAGTATACTATGCAAGCACTATTTTCGATCTAACTAGAAGTGTAAACCGATGTCTTGAAGTTGTTGGTAGAAAACTTATTGATAAAAAAACCAGACGGTAATATTTCCAAGGACTAATTTTATGTCACGATGATGCTGCTGAATGGCTGGAGTTTTGGTGATTTTTTCAATTGATTGACATCTCTAGCTCTCACAAAATGAGTGAATCTTTGATATCAATACTGTTATATCATAGATTATGAGAAGATTTCAATTAGATCAAAATTGTTTTCTTGAAATTAAATTCTGAAAATGTTTCTTTTGTTTTTAGGTTAGTAATTGGTTTGGTAATAAACGTATTCGATATAAGAAAAATATTGGTAAAGCACAAGAAGAAGCAAATTTATATGCATCAAAATTAGCAAATCAAGCAGCACAAGGTGTTTGTGGTATCCGTCGAGACAGTGATAGTTCACAGCAAGGTGAAAGATAATTATAAAAAAAAAAATTTTTTTTTTTTCTTTTTTTTCATGATTATTTTTTCATCTGTCATCTAGCTGAATCTACAAGAAAAGTTCGTTCTCGAGTCAGGAACTAATGATTGAATACAAAGTCAATATATATATTGAATATTTCTTCTGTGTGCAATGTTTGTTTTTGAATATATGTCTTTCTTTTGAATCTCGTCATTCTCTTTATTGTGACATTTTATTCAAAATTTACTCGTCTGCTTTACTATACCATATGTGTATTGCTGTTTTTTTTTGTTTTAATCACTTATGTCGTTTGTTTTGTTTTGTTCGAATATTTTACTCTTTGTCTTATTGAGTTATATTTTGAATGTAGTAGCTTTTTTTTTTCTTCTGTAGTAGCTCATTCATTTGTACAGTTTAGTAGCCTTTTTTTCCCAATTATATTCATTTGTGCTGTATAACATTTGCTGAACAAAACAAAAACAAATAAATGTGTTTTTGTTTATCAGAAAAAATTTTCATTGTTCAATTGAGATTATCATAACGAACATTGTCGAAAAGATAGATTATTGAATTGCTTCTGATGATTGATTTTGGCGATTATTCTTTTTCTTCGCTTTTGGAATATATGTATATATATATATCATATACAGGAAGAAGGAGAGAGGGTGACTATTTTAACTATGTGATGTGTGCATCATTAATTGTAATCTAGTCTTGTCTTAGTTACTAATTTACTTATTAACTTAGTTAATTATTAGCTTACCCAGTGAAAAATATCCCTCACAAAATCTTGATTATTTTTGATTACGACTGGGAAACTCCGATTTCTCGAACCAAACTACCTCTTTTTGTAACAGAATCCGATTAAAATCCAACAATCTATTCAATCAATTATTGATGATTCTATCCTTTAAAATCTAATTTTAATCGAACAATTGATTGTAATCTTCCCAATCGATTGAAATTTCAATCTTTGAAAATCCAATTGTTTGATTATCAATCAATGCTTTCGAAATAACTCGCTTGAACTTGATTTTAATTCTACAATCGATTTAAATCTCAATCTTTAAAAATCAAACTGATAGATTATCAATCAATTATTCCTAATTACTGCAGTTGAGTCTGATTTTAATCCTACAATCGATTTAAATCTTTTCTATCGATTGAAATCCAAATCTTTTACAATCGAATTGATTGATTAACAATCGATTTTTTTGGATTAGCTCATCTAAAACCAGATTTCAATCCTACAATTGATTAAAATCTTCTCAACCCATTAAAATCCAAATCTTTCAAAATCGAATTGGTAGATTATCAATCGGTTATTTCTAATTACTACAGTTGAATTTGATTTTAATCTTACAGTCGATGAAAATCTTCTCTATCGATTGAAATCCGAATCTTTCACAATCGAATTGTTTGATTATCAATCGATGCTTTCGAAATAACTCGCTTGAAGTTGATTTTAATCCTATGATCGATTGAAATCTCAATCTTTGAAAATCCAATTGGTAGATTAGGGTGGGTGTGAGTGTGAGTGGGTGTGGGTGTCGATGTGTAAAAATGAAACACTCACACCCACACACACCCACACCCATACCCATACCCACACCCACCCACAATCACAGCCACACACCCACTCCACATCCACACCCCACACCCACACCCCACACCCACACCCCACACTCACACCACACACCCAATCACCACACTCACCCACATCTCACACCCATCGACACCCACACTCACATCAACGCACCCACACTCCAGAGGTGCAGAATCTTCCTCATGCGCTCCCGCGCGGGGAGGGAAATTTTTTGAAAAACTCAAATAATAGGGAAATTTTGGAAAAACCCGCTGGCCAAAAAAAAACAGTGGGGAAATTTTTCAAAAAAATTTTTTGCGTGGGGGGAAATTTTTGAATTTTTGGAAGATTCTGCACCTCTGCCACGCCCACACTCATGCCCATATACACTCACACCCACATCCACACCCATCCACACCCACACCCCCCCCACCCACCCACCCCCACCCACCCCACCCCCCCACACCCACACACCCACACCCACACCCACCCCAAAACAAAAACAAAAAGAAAATATTTGTTTAGATATGTTCGAATGAAATCTCTTCTATCTAATCAATCCGTATCATTGACATATTTTATTGTTGCATCTTTATTTCCATGTTTTTCTTTATATGTATCGAATAGATTTGTTAATGCATCCATATACATTTGATGATATTTATCAATAATTTCCGATGTAATATCTTCTTTTTTTAATTTAGGTAATTCAATTGGTGAACCAACATATGTATCAATTGGATGTCGTTGTGGTAAAAATCCAAAAGCAT